TGTAAGCAACTCATCTGTGACCCCAGCTACGTAAAAGATCGGGTAGAAAAAGTGGGTCAGGTGATCCGAGTTATCTGTATCCTCAGTCACCCCATCAAGAACACCAATGACGCCAACTCTTGCCAGATCATTATTCCACAGAACCAGGTCAACAGGAAGTCAGGTAAGTTTGGAAGATCAGCAGATGTTTGTAGAATTTTGTTAGACATCATTTCCTTTTTTCGTTATCCCAAATTCCTAATTTTATCTGTTTTATTATAGGGAAGGAGTCTTAGTTTTTAACACATGGGAAACAAAACGTGATAGATCCCTTTTAGCTGAGATCCTAAATCATCACACTGAATGGGCAAATCAAATTAGCCTAGGAGTCTCACCTCAGCCTTTCATCCATTGCTTCAGACCTGGGATTCTTCATTTGTAGAATTCAGTCTGAACTAAGATAAGCAGTCCATTCCCTCCTGGTTCCAACATTAAATTGTGCCTGTGAGGGTTTAGCTTATTGTGACCTGACTCCTGAGATGATGATAGTGCTATTTTTAGTGTCATTATTTATCAACCTAATACTTATATTTAATTTTAACAGTGTGCTAGAACACAACCTAAATTTCTCTGATTAAGCTCAGAATTTATCTTTAAAATCATAATTCCTAATCTATTTGTTTTAACCAGTAGTTCTCACCTGCCACCTCTTTCGAAAGTCCTGAATCTTAAAAGTTCAACTTTTAAAAGGAGTTACTGGTTTTTAAATAGTTAAAATGTATTTTTTTTTTTCCCCATGTAGGAATCCAAATCACAGATTATTACTAGAACAAAGGGACTTGTACTAGAGTAATATGTAAAGGGTTCCCAAGCAGATCCTTGGGTCTGTGAGAAAATCAAAAAAGGAAGAAAGAGAACCCAGTAATTATTTTCTGTATTGGAATTGATGTGGTTACTTAGTGGTATACAGACAAGAGGAGTCTGTGGAATTATGTGACAACTCAGGAATAGTTTTTGCTCATTTACAATTTTATATTAAATGAGAAATCAGTACAGAAGGTCCCCACTTAATTGTGGTTCAACCTCTTCACGTTTAAGATGATACAAATGATAACCATACAACCATTGTTTTTCATTTTCAGTACAGTATTGCATTAAATGAGATTTTGTCCAACTGTAGGCTAATATAAGTGTTCTGAGCACATTTAAGGTGCAATGGGGTAAACTATGACGTTTGGTATTAAATGCATTTTAAGTGTATTAAATGCATTTTGACTTAACAGTGTCTGCTATGGGCTTTTCAGGATATAACCCGACTGTAAGTTGAAGAACATCTATACTAATAAAACCTTTCTTAGTAATTCGAAACCTTTCTAAATGCAGGGTTCTGAGAGGCAGAAGACCCCAGAGCAGTTAATATGGTTTGCCAGGTTTCCATAGTTAGCTGTGACAGAGTTGGGAAGAGAAGTCTCATTGTCAAGTCCAGCAGTTCACTGCCACATAAACCTTTCATCTCCAAAAGGCTGAATGTTGCTACATATTTGCATATTCTATGTGTGAGACTGTTTGCCTCCATATACATAAAACTTCAGCTTACAAGATAATTGTCTACTTCAAGTAATTTTAATTCATACCTCAAAGACAGACAGGTGAGACCTGAATGTGCCCACATGCCCAAGGTTTACAAACCTTGGCAGTGAGATGGCATTACTTGTTTCCAGATATCTATGTCTGCATGATTTCCTCTGCACACAACGTGGCGGCACAAGGGAAGTATATTGCCATAGTCAGTACAACTGTGGAGACCAAGGAACCTGAGAAGGAAATCAAACCAGCTTTGGAGCTCTTGGAACCAATTGAACAGAAGTAAGTGATGTGTTTGTTTATATCAGCTAAAAGCCTAGATTAGAACAAGCAAGCAGCCATCATCTCTACCAGCCTCATCCTTTGGGATTTGTGTTTCAGGTGAAGCAGGAATGGGTATGGGGTCAGCTCACCTGCTTACTGAATTCTTTTTCTCCTCCAGGTTCGTTAGCATCAGTGACCTGCTTGTACCAAAAGATTTGGGAACAGAAAGCCAGGTGAGTGTGGTGATCTGAAAAGGCTATTGTCAGATTTTATTGGGAGACTTCCCTAGTTTCAAGTCTTTCTAATTTTTATTTCCAGATCTTTATTTCCCGTACATATGATGCTACAACTCACTTTGAGACAACCTGCGATGACATTAAAGACATCTATAAGAGGATGACAGGAACTGAGTTTGACTTTGAAGAAATGAAGCGCAAGAAAAATGACATCTATGGGGAGGACTAACAGCAGTCCATGATATCATCTAATTAGGACAAACTTTAAAATCTGGCAAATAATGCATATCATATGAAATCAATATTGTAAGGCCTGCTTTTGTAATCCAAACCGAGAGATTGCAGAGCACTGCACCAGTAAACACACCTCCCCTTTCTAATATCGTGTATTAACGTGTTTTCATGGAGTGGCTATTCAGAATTGACAGGCGACCACACTATACTGTTTAATGAATGCTGGCTTTTTTCCTAGTGAAGGATAAGTTTTAAAAAAACATTGTGATACTGATAGAGAACTTGATACAGTATTTGTATCTTTTAATCAGTGTAGCCTTTGCAGTTATGTGCTTCTGCTGCTGAAGATGGATCAATACAATTTGCGTGCCATCTGTCCTCTTGATTACGGAGATTTGAAATCAAATATTCCATAATTTGGGACAGCATACCGGTTTTCCCTATAGCTTTACATTTTGTGTCCTGTCAAGTATTATGATAGTGCCCATGTAGCCTAGCCACAGAGATTGGTTTATGTGGGCCTAAAATTCTAACTGAACTCCAGACTTCGAGTCATTTTGGAGGAAGCATGTGTGCGGTGTTTTAACCTAATAAAATTGCTGAGAGCAAAGGAGAAAGAAACCTATCATAAAGCAGGTAAATGTAGAAGCTTCTTTTGTATCCCAGGTGTGGTTTCTTCAATGGACCAAGCTGCAATGCAGTATTGATTTGACAGAGCCTCTCCTTCAATGATGTCTGCCTCAAAAATGGCTCCAAATGATTTCTGTACTGCAAAATAAAGCCAAACTCTGGAAACCAAGTCCCTCTCTATTGGTCTGTTTATGTCCTGGTGTTCAAAAGCTGTAGGTATTGTGTCGGCCATGACACAGCTGTTTATTTCCTTTGGGAAAGCTGAAACATGCTAGGAGGGATGCTGGAGTGAAGTGTGCACTCAGTCACTGACAGCTCAGGAAGATTCCAACTTAGGTGGATAAAGAGTCTGTCATCTGGCTTCACAGTGAGTAAACTCCAAAGTCAAGTCTCATTCTTATTAGTGGTTTACAACAAGTACTCTTTTCCATATAAATGCAAGCTACTGCCTTTGATAATTTTGCTTATAATGAGTAAGTGAATTGTCAGGTGGAATAGGTGCTTTAATATTTTCACGTAATTTAAATTGTAATTAGAAGTCATTTTTAACTGGTACCCCCTTCCTTTCCCTTTGATAACATATACAGTGATAGCTATCAGATGAATGAAGACAACTGTATTCTCATAGCCTGAATATTGATTCTTATAGTTAAGTCCGAAGGACATACGACTAACGTACGTAATCTGTTAAAGCAGTTAGGGTAATAATGTAGATTATTATTCAAATTGTCTGATTTACTTTAGCTCAGTTTCTAAATCTCACACTACCCATTTTTGGCTAGATGATTCTTTGTTGTGGGGGACTGTCCTATGTATTATATGGTGTTTACTAGCATTTCTGACATAGCCACTGGATCCAGGAGCACCTCTGTAGCCTGAGAACCAAAAATTTCTCCAGGTGTTACATCTCCCGGGGGACAAAATTGCCCCAGTTGAGAATGACTGCTCTATGCGGTAAGATGTAAAAATCCCAGCACGTCTTTCCCTTCCCTACCCATAATATTTTAAATTTTGAATTACTAATGCAGGCAGATGTACAAGCTGGACTAATTGAGTAGAAAGAAAAAAATACCAGCACTTCTGCATGTTCCTCACTTAATTATACTACCTATGTCCCAGGCCAATGGGGTAAGGATGATGAAGGCACAATTTCTGGAAGAGCCTGTAGTCCAGGTTAAACCCATTCATTATTCTGTGGCTTGGTTAAGTGTTAAGATATAGAAAAGATGGTATGGAAACCGATGGCCTTGTGGGTGGGATATTGGAAGACTTCAGCAAAGAAGCTGAACATTTGAGGAATAACTTTGAAAGATGACTCTGTTGGGCACACAGCACCTGATAGGTAGTAGGTACTCACTATATGTTTCCTCAGTGTACCAAATATGGTTGGTTATGGTCCTCTCAATGAGAGTCTTATCCCTGGGGTAAAAATAAAATGGGTTTCGAGGCAAAGCTAGTGTCAAATAATTAAATTGTATTAGTCCTCCTTGTGAGGAAATAGCAAATAGTGAAATTGGTACTTTTGTTTGGGTAGAAAGTATACAAAGCAGATGAATGGCTTTTCAAAGTTTTCCGTGCTAACAGCCCCAGAAAAGGGCCAGGTGAAAAGTCTTGTGGCCCTGGCTGGGTAGCTCAGTTGGTTAAAGCATCTTTCGCTATATCCTAGGTTGTGGGTTTAATGTCTGGTCAGGAGGGCCCATATAGGAAGCAACCAATGAATGCATAAATGAGTGGAAAAACAAATTGGTGTTTCTCTAAAAAAAAAAAAAGAGAGAAATCCTGTGAATGTTGTCCTGTATCTGTAGCTTGCTGTTCAGTGCATATGACTGGGAGGGGAAAGCACTGGGCAGGTCTCTGGGACTAGACGAATCAAGGCCAAAATGATAGAAGCAGTAGGATTCCTCTGGAACCTAGCTGTTCCTGCTAAGTGGCCTAAAAGGTGCTGAAACTTTCCTGACAAACTCCAGTTTTTGCTGTTAAAGTCATTGCAGAAATGGTTGATTTTTTAAAAATTGTCTTTATTAAAAAAAAAAAAATTAGTTACAAAAACTTTTGTTTCAAAGAGATGCTGTATCTTACAAATGTTTTCTGCGTGGTTTTCATTTAAAGATAACTGTAGAAATTATTTCTAATGTCATAAATAAGTGATTATTTCTTCTTAGAGTTGATCTTGTAGTTGAGTATTTACAAAGTGAGTAAGTGAAAAATGACAGTTTATAAATTTGTACCATTTTGGAAAAAAGGTTAACTTTATGTAGTGTTTGAGTAACAGCAAATGAAACACAGCTGTAGTTTTTACAAAGGTGGTAAAACCTTTAAAACAGACTAACATGCATCTCACCTATGTCTTGCTGACATTAACATGCAAAAACAAAGCTATTGGTTAAAATAGACTCACTTCTGCTACAATTGAGTAAACACGTTTACAAAATTATTTTTAACAATAAGTTCATTAATAGCTTTAAATTAAAATAATTTAAAACAAAATATTTAACACCGCAACCCAAAGTTAGTGGACAAATACTGTGTCACTGTGAATGAAGTCAGCTATTTTAAGAAAATACAAAAAAGCAAAACAGAAGACAGAAAACTTTCCCTAAGTTGTAGAACATTGATTTTTTCAATAATTAGAAGGGAAGACCCTTATGTGTGTCTTAAAAAGTTTTTCAGACAAAAGGGAAAATACTAATCTGTTGTTGGCATCGTTGATGTCTGGGCAAGCTGCAGTTAAATCTGGGTAAACTCAAAATTGATGATAATTCTATCTTAAAATAACCAACAACTAGTTTATAAATAGCAAGCTACTTAATGGGGAAAAATTTGTGTGTTGTGAGTTACATCATCTGTCTTGGCAATCAGAATTGAACTGCAGTGAAAATGTACATTATAGAGAAAATGGGTAATTCAAAGACGTTGGTTATTTCATTCATTAGTAAATACAACTTCCACCCCTAAGTAAACAGTTACTTTTAATTTACAGCATGATAACATGTAAGGTAAAGAACAGTTTTTGAACTGGTTCCCTCACAGACACAAATGTCAGAGTATCTGCCCTCAACTCCAGCTGACATGGGAGAGTTACAGAAAAAATGTGCTTACCAATAGCTACTCCTAAATGGAGCTGCTACTTTTTGTATGTTTTCAATAAAGTTATTTACATCTGTTACAAGGATGCCACTATTTTCAAAGACTTCTCTGGAGACAGCAGGTTTTTCTGTAGAAAGAAAAATACCCTTTTTTGGTGAAAAATTCATTAATGTACTTTTTAAAATGTGTAGTTGACATACAGTTTTAGTCTCAGGTATATAATGGAGTCATTCAACATACTAATAGTGTACCTTTTTAAAAGTAGAACAGAAACTCCTTTGTTTAAAAAAAAAACCAAACTTATGTGAAATTTCCTAATGGTGGTGGCGGTGGGGAGGAGTAGGGGAAGGAATCTGGTTCCAGTGAAGAAAGGTTTGAAGCTTTAGGAGCAGCTGCTTCCATGGGGAAAGGTGTGCTGAAAACCACTGATGAATGAAAACTATAGTCATTCCTTTAATAATTTTTAAAGGCTTGGTGAAGATTCACATACATTAAAAATTAGGGATAAGTATAAAATTAAGTTAGTGATTGTAGGAGATGATGGAACTTAGTAGAAACTGTATTGGAGAACTAACTAGACACTACAGTACCCCTCACCCAGCATTTATCAGGTTAACAAGCTGGTATTGAATATATTCACATGTATCTTATGGTATCCAATGAATCTGCAAGGACATTTTTAGAGTTGACCTATTTTGGCATTAACTGACTGATGAGATGAAACTGAGACAGAACTAAGGCTGTGTGATTTTACCTGTTAGGAAGACAGCAAACCTGGCATGGATATGCTGAATTTGCAGGTTTAGCAGACATTTTAAATGTTCTGCTTTTGCTGATGACCGAGAGTCACACTGGTGATAATGAAGCAACTCAATGATATTTGCACTCTGATATGACTTCAATATTAAGTTCTTCTTATGTGCAACTGAATCCACTCTGGAAAACACATAGAAACATTAAATTTAGATTCTGTATAAGTTTGTTAAAGTTTATTTTTTACTGTATCTTAATTTTCTTGTTTTATTTCTAGATCTCTTGCCTTCACTATACTTGTAGTTTACCTGCTTCTGATAAAACCAACTCTCAAGATCCTTTGTTACTCTTCTTTTCGATCATGCACTTACCTTCCTAGATGTCACTGTCCTGATGTGTTCCCTCAAAACATTACAGATGTTATGTTTTTGCAAATACAGATTTTTTAAAAGTAGCGCCCTTGTTCCAAGAGGGACATTTACACATTCATGTACTACCACTTCCAGCAACGTCACCAGCAAGTCTTACTGCCTTCTTTATTATATAGCAATGGTTCCAAACCTTTTAAGTCTTTTGAAAACTTATTCTTTATACTTCTGACTAAAACTATGTTGCGACTAGATTTTCCTTAATTTCTCATCTTTTAAATCTTGCTGCCTTTTCTTCCTCTTTTAGAGTAAAATGTTTAATATCTCTACCTCTGCTCTTGATTCCACCTCTCCAGTCTTTTCTATTGTTTACTTCTACCTTCTCCCTCCTGCTTGCTGGAAAAAACCAAAATTGTATGTATCACCACTACTCCAGTGAGTGACAAGCACTATTCACATCATGATGATGAATTTCCTTCCAGGCTTTACAATTTATGATCGGTATCACACTGTAGGTAGTTTTAACATACTAACTTTTCTGTATATTCCTTACTGCTATGAACAGAAACTTGTAGGTTTCTACTTAATTGTGTTAAGTTTTGTATGGCATTATTTTGCAGATATTAAAAGAATTATATAACCAAATTAGCCTAAAGATGGAATTGAGGCTGGTTTCATAGTTACTGATTACCACCCCTGGCTATGAACACCTTGGTGTTTTTTTGAAAGCTAGGTGTTTTTCTTTTTTTCTTTAGTTTTAGATAAATTGCCCCACAGGTTGAAGGATATAATGAGTTTTCTGATGAGCTCTCATTATGCCACATCAGTACAATTTGAAGAGCATATTACAGTGCTAATAGTGACGTATTTTTCTTTACCCAAAGTTCTATGAGTGCTAAGTTGTTATTACTAATTTTAAACATCTGCTCTGGCACCTCAGAGCTTTGATTTGCTCCTCTCATTATTCCTGATTGAACCTTCCTCCAAAAGTGCTGGCTAACTAATTTGTCACCAACTTGTGGTCCCAGCATTGGACTCCGTTAGCCTGGTTGTCCTCCTTTCCTAGTGCCTCTCCTAAGTACAAGCCTTTCCTAAACTTCTAGGTCATCTTTCAACATCTCATGCACTTCCACAGTTTTGGCTGTTTTCACACCTAGGCTTGTGTCCTTCAAAGCAGTATGGTAATACGCAGTAACTGCTTTTACAGAGATGAACATTCTGAGGTTGAAGCCTAGCTTCACAACTGACTGACTGACTGACTATACCTGACCTGAGTCAGGTGTGTCTTGCCCTCCCTCTCTGTGCTTCCATTTCCTTATCATTAAAGTGGGTATTTACTATCTACCTGCTTTGTATTAAGTTAGGACAAGATAATCAAAACACCTAACACTGCCTGAAACAGTCCTTTAACAAATGCATTTGTTAAATCTGTTCTTTTCCTAGTCTGTCTCTCAGCTCCAGATCTTCCTTTCCCAGTCTCACTAGAACCTGGAGGCACCCTCAGACCACAAGTCCCTTTTGTCAAGGAATCAATACTTTTCTTTACAAAATCCCAGCTCTATGTAAAGAGGTTTGCCTATAGGTAAGCTATTGTTTAAGGATAAAATTCAATTATGGATATAGTCTCATGTCAATTTTTCCATCATACTTTTAACTGAGACAACTTAAAAAGCATTAATGTGGCAAGTCCATACTTCACAATTTATTTTTTTTACAGTTCATGGTAGTAGAGCCTTAACTTAAATCTATAGACATTTTAGGACCTTTATGTCTGACTTACTTACTTTTCTGTTGGTCTACAGAGTGCTTGCTACTCAAAGTATGTGCCTATAAACTTTTTAAAAAATCAACCAACCAAAGGAAACCAAGAGACAAAGAGGGAAGGAGGAAGGGGTGGGCGGGGGGAAAAGGAAGAGGAGGGGCAAGTCAAGGAACATATAGCAAGGAGTCATGGACAAGCCAAAATGGGGAAGGACAGGAGGGCCAGAGGGAAGTGGTGGAGGGAAGGTGGGGAAAAATGTATTTGGAAAAAAAAATTAATTAAAAAAAATCCTAACTTGATATATTAATTGATTTTAGAGAGCGAGAGAGAGACATTGATCCATGCCTCCCATACACACCCCAACTGGGGATCGAACCTGCAACCTTTTGGCATACAGGGTGGCACCAACCACTGAGCAACCCAGCCAGGGCTGTGCCTGTAAACTTTTGATTACAACCCACAGCTTCCTTCACTGAAGGCCCTGACAGGAAAACAAAATAAAAGTCAACCTAAATACTGTGTTTAATGATATAGATCATTTCCATTCCAGCACAAATTTACCTTAAGTACCAATACAGAGCACACTGAACATTTCAGGGTGAATGGTGTGTCCCTGGGAAGGGAAGGAACCCCTCTCACTTCTCTCACCCCCCGCCCCCAAGCCCTCAGCTGACATCAGGTCTTACCTCACATCTTCCTTTAGCTTTTTACTTTCTCTGTAGTGAAGCAACCACTTCCATCTTCCATTTCCATTTAGTTTCTCCAGGATTTTGACAATTTCCTTTAGTTGAACTGCAGAATAGAAAACGTTGTTTTAAGGCTTCTGGCTTGTCTATTCAAAGCCTGGAATTTATTACTTGTGAAAAAATAAGACTCATGTTTGAATGTGTACCATCGTTGCTGCTTTGTAGCTGCACAGGATCCAATACTGCATTTCAAAGATACAGCAACCTGTGACCCCTTAACTCAGTCCTACCTACTACTGCAGTAGCAGAGAACTGTATAGACAAAGAGCACTAGGATCACCAGCAGTTAAAGCTTTGAATGTAGTACAGAAATCATTAAACCTCAAATAGGAGGGTCAGTTGCAACAGCAAAAGTCAGGTTTCTAAATAGAGAATGTACAAGTATTTTTCAACTTCAGTTTCCATGCACAGTTCATGCTTGTTAATAAGGTGTATCCTCCTGATCCTCTCGCGCTAGAAGTGGAGTATCCACATTGGTTTTAATGTGGTAGGTTTTCATCAAATAAAAAGTGTCTGCCATGTGCTCTGAAGTTCCTCTACGTCTGTTCAGTGTCCCGAGAGAAGCAGATTATACAGTTGACTGTTGAACAACACAGTTAGGGGCAATGGAATAAGTGTGTATAACTAAGTTGGTTCCCTGCATACACAAATGCCCAGCCTCCAACAGACCCTCGAACAACATGGGTCTGAAGTGCTCAGGTCAAGTGTAAGTAGATGCATATAATTCAAACTCATGTCATTCAAGGGCTACCTAGTGTTCAAGCAGATGATTGACACAACTTTCAATAGCCATTTTTTTTTAAGATTTCTGTATCAACAAGATGGTAAGGGTGACAGCAACAGAAATGGAAGAGGGCTGACTGCAATAAAAAAAAAAAATCTGACAAGTGAAGGAATCAAATGTTAAAAAATCTCAAATTTGTATGACTTTTAGCCACACTTTCCAGAGAAGGAACTTAGGAGCTTTGGTGGGGAATACAGTCAGAATGAGAGGTTAAGAGCATGAACACTGGGGATGAGAACTATACAAAAACTCTCTTCCATGCAGTTATTTGGGTCACTGGGTAAGGAGAAACTGATTTGACTCGATTTCAAAGAAAAACAAAGGAAATTAGGAAGACCAACCTAATGTTAAAATTTCTAATATTCTGTCATCTGATACCACAAAGCCTCCTGTCCGAAACAGCTCTTGGAAGGTGTAATTGAGAACATCTTCAGGGCTATCTACTCCAGCAAAGATGACACTGGGAAAATGCTTCAGCTTCAGCAAAGAAGGAATCTGTTAAACATAAAAGGATCCCACAATGAAGACAGGTTCACTGGGTTGCTTTTGTCACTTTTATCTGAAAGTTTCAAGATTCAGGACAACTAAAAATACTTTTAACCTTGATGACTGATGGGTAATTCTACCACACGTAAGGAATATTAACTCAGTTCATCATCAATGCTACAAACTCATTAAAGCTAGTTAATTACAAGTGCTCTCTACAACTCTAGATTGGAGGTAGTGAGGAAATGGTATACCTGAGTTTTGGGGACCTGCAATCAGGCAGAGAACAGGCTAACACCATCACTCCCTGTCTCTAGCTTCACCTGGTGCTAGTGCTGTAAGGATGGATCAGTTCTGTGCCCTGACAGCAGGGCAGTAGCTATGCCCATAAGTTAGACCTTGGGAGAAGCAATTGCCTTTATTCAACTAATAGGTAAATATCATAAATTAGGAAAATATTAACAAGTCCTCTTAAAGCAAGATTTATTCCTATTAGATGAAAATTTACCAATATCTTTATAGTTTTCCCTTAGTTACTATGAATTTAAAAAGACAAGTCTAAAAATTATAGAATAACAAAAGGCCTGGAATACATTTCTTTGTAAGAAAGTTACTTCCAAACCTACTTGATGCAAATGGGATGAGATATCTTCATTTCTGATGATGACCATTAGCATATTCTCTCTGTGAAAAGCTTGACAGAAATGTTGAGGTTCAATTTCCGTGTGGCCTCCTTTCCTCAGAATATTCTGAAAGATTTACAAATAGCCGTTACTAAAAAAGGGATGCTTGCACAAAACTTTTATTGTTTACTAAGAACATCTAAAAAAATCCTATTTACTAAATTATGTCTTAAGGCAACAGAAATGGCAGTTTGTCTTGTTACTAGGTGAGCTTTCATCTGTAAAAGGGATGACTCAGTATCATGAAAAGCTGGGTTTAGAAGTTTATTTCAAAGGCAAAAAAAAGCACTATATAATAAATCTCTTATGTCCATGACGTATTAAAGGCTGATTCTTTATTTTTTTAGAGAGATGGGAAGGGAGGGAAAAAGAAACATCGATCAGTTGCCTCTCGTATGCGCCCTGAATGGGGACCAAACCCACAACCCAGGGCATGGGCATCCAGACTGGGAATCAAATGCAACCTTTCGTTCTGCAAGACAGTGCCCAACCAACTGAGGCAAACCAGTCAGGACAAAAAGCTGATTCTTTTTAAACATTACACTAATATATTGGGTTTCACCCTCTTCAAGGGAATTAACTTGGGTATGCAAAGATGTGCTAAAAAATGCCACCTCCAGTCAAAACATTTTCTAGAACTCTTGAAAATAATACCCATAACAGATATGCATTACTCTTGAGTATCATTAATGGAGACTTGGATGTGGTGATGTGAATACCATGGGAGAGGTATGTTAAACTCTGCATGGTGATTAAGCACTTACATGTACACAGAACAGCACTGAAAATAGCCTTATTGGAAGGGTGAGTTCATGTAATTAAAGACATTCTTTAACCTTGTTCTCCTTTGTGATTTTGACACTGTTTCTGTTTGAAGGGTTCTGGAGATTTCTATTGTATGCCCAGATATTCCTAGTCCTACCAAAAACACGGTGTCTTATGATCACTTGTTATTTCCTTTATAAAAATAAATTGTTTCACCAGTCTCCCCTGGATCTCAAAACAACTCAAATTTTGACTATTTCACGGCAATGTATTTTCAAATAAATTCCTATAGGCAACATGTCTTTTAACAGAGCCCACTAAAATACCTAAATATAAATCTTTAGCCCTCACTTATTTTAGTAATAAACTATTTGAGTAACTACATTTTCTCTTTGACATTTTCATCAAATCCTGTGGTGTCCTGGGCTAGTTTGTCATGCCTTCTGAATGTTGACAGTAATAAAGGACATCACAGATCTTCCTCATCTTAGCAAATAAATGGGGGCCTGACATCCCATCACTAACGAATGTTTCAGGACTCTCCAGGACTGAAGAATTATAGGAATAGCTTTCTGAGCTTTGCTTTGACAGGACTTTCTTTATTCTTGTTTATTTTATGGGTCAACTTTCTCACTCGATTAGTTTTACCTTTGCACGTAATTTTCTGTTGTAAATAGTGGCTACATGATAAAATATTGTGAAACAATACATTCACTAATGAAACAGGAATGATATCTTGAAGTATTCCTATGAAACCTATGACCTGTTCCTTATATGAAAATGAGTTATCACCTGTGCTCTGTGAAGGATGTAAGAAGATACTGCACTGTTGCTTTTGAAAAGATGGAAGCAAAAAGAAATCAAGTTTTCTGCTCACTGGCAAAACAGCAACAAGGCCATGATGCTAATTCAATCTCAGATTTATTTTAGCACATGCCTCAGGGATACTTAGCCAAACAAAATTAATTCAAGGTAAAAAAAATTAATTTCCAGGTTACTTTTGGCAACCAACCACCTTCAAGTATACTAAAGGTCATTTAACCCTTTTTCAAGTATACTGCTTACCAAATGACATGGAAGTCAGGACAAAAACTATAGGGAGAGGGTACAGAGATAGGTCTGGCAACCATTTATGAAGAACCATGGAGAAGAAAAGAATCCTCGACAGGAAAAATAAAATGTTATACAAAGATCAAACTCCGTAAATTTGGAAAAAGCTTTAAATGTTTTAAGATCGTATTTAAATGATATAAAATAGGAGCCATCAGCCATCTTTGAGAAGAGTGTCAATAGCTTCAAATTTAAGCCTGTTACGTCATTTTTCCAATCCATTCTCCACACAAGATGAACGGATCTATCTCTCTGTAAAATGCAAATAGGATGCTATTCACCTTTTAGAATGACCTCTCAAATGACCTCAGCAGAGATAGTCTAAATGCCTTAGCGTGACTTCTATTAAGGCCCTTCTTAACATGGCCCTTTTGTACATCTCTAGATAACATTTCTTAATAGTACGCTCTATGTTCCAAGCAAACTGACTAGCCCTTTTCACTGATACCCCTCTGACCCTTTTGGAAACCTGTTCAGGGTCCCCTTATTCTTTTCTTTCTATAGCACCGAGCCTTTGAGTGAAGCTGTCTGCTCTCTTGCCAGACTCCCAGACTGTGAGGACACTATGATGTATCCACTTCATCCTCCACACCAAGAACCTCATGTTTACCAGCTTCACATCTGCTCCTGGGAAAAGCAGGAAACTGCCATCCAGGTCTCATCAGCATCTGTCTAATGTGCCCTCTGTAATGACTGTCGTACTTATCACAAACATCTTCAGCTGTCTAATGTTACTTAGTATTTCAACATTCATGGATTTATCATATGGACCACATCATGTGACAGATACTATGGAACTGACAGAGGACTTCTCAAAAGTACTGACAAAGTGAACTCTGAAACAAACACAAACATTTACAGCCAGAACACTTATCAGTCCACACCCCATACAAGAGGTCAGTCAGCCTTGCTAACTTAAACGTTCCTGACTTCCCTGACTACACCTACTGCCTTCAATACAATGTTGAAGCACCTGCACCATTACACTTCCCATATTTTGTTTTACATTTATTTTTCAGTGTTTTTCACTTCCCCTCACCTGCACACATCAGGGATCTAAAACAGACACTGAGAAGGACTGCTGTCTTTTGAACTGGCTGCTTCTGCAACCATGAAGAGCCCCGCTTTGGGCTGGCGCTCCAGGGGGTAAAAAGGGGAGCTATAGGAGAGGAAAGTGGTTACATATGGGGTAAGGGCTGAGCCAAGCAGCAGGTGCACTGAGGACAGTGGGAGCTGAATAGCTGTAGAAGGAAGCTGCCACACTGGCAAAGGTCAGGATAGACGTGGTGGTGCTACACTGGAATTGGGAAGAACATGCACCCATTTATGTTCTTAAACATATACATGTTACTTGTACATTTAACAACCTATTTCTTGGCTGTTTGCTGGGTGGATGTCAATATCAGATATTGGGTTCAAAACAACGGTTATAAGGAAGCTAATTGAGTTCACTGAGCTCAGAATTACAAAAACTACAGGGACTACGAGGAACTTACTGCAAAATACACCAACATGAAAAAGGACATAGAAACTATCAATAAGATACAAGAAGAAACGAAGAATATACTATTTCTGAATTAAAGAACATAGGAGAAAGAATCAAATGCAGGCTAGATGAAGCTGAGGATTGAATCAGCGAACTGAAGGACAAGGTACAAAAAAAGCTCCCAGAAAGAGCAAGAAAATGAAAAAAAGACAAAAAAAAAAAAATGCAGGACAACCTGAAATGTAATAATATCCATATAATAGGGATACCAGAAGGAGAAGAGGAGGAGGAAGGAATAGATAACTTGTTTGAAAAAGTAATGATGGAAACCTCCCTAATTGGAGCAGAGAAAAAGTCACACAAGTCCAGGAGGAGCAGAGGGTCCCATTCAAGAGGAACCCAATGAGGGTCTCTCCAAGACACATCATTTTAATTAAAATGGCAAATATCAAAGACAAACAGAGAATCCTAAAGGCATCAAGGGAGAAACAGGTAGTAACATAGAAGGGAACCCTAATACAGCTAGCATCTCACTTCTCAACAGAAACACTACAAGCCAGAAGGGAATGGCAAGAAATATTCCAAGTCATGAAAAGCAAAGGCCTGCAACCAAGACTGCTCTACCCAGCAAGGCTCTCAATTAAAATGGAAGGTGAAAAAAGGAGTTTCCCAAACAAAAGGCTAAAAGAATACACCTCCACCAAACCAGCATTGCAATATATGCTAAAGGGACTGCTTTAATATGAAGAAAAATAGTCTATGAATACCCAGTTGCTTTCACAGTCACCAATACTTGATATTACCAATATTTTTAATACTTATTCATCTCATTGTGACAATGATGTGTTATTTGAATCATTACTTTATTATTTGTTGATACTAAACCTGTTTTTGTATATTTCTTGCCTATTTCTATTATTTTTAAAAAGCTTTAAATGACTTTTTGGCATTCTTTATCCATTTTTTGACTAAATGTTTGTAAAATTTTTGCCCTTAAGGAAAAACAAAAGCAAAAACACCATTAACCCCTTTACAGACGTGTTGCAAATACTTTCGTATTCTATTACTTGTCCTTAAACTTTTTTTACATGTGTATTACTATATGGTCTTAAATGTTTAATATAGTCATATTGTTAATATTTTACTTTATGGCTTTTGGGTTTGAGTATTTTATTTCAAGGTAAGAAAAATATTACTTTGTATTTTCTCCTGAAACTTCTTAGATTTTACGTATTGATTTTTTAACTCACCTGAACATTTTTTGTATAATGTATGAAACAGGGTTGTATATTTGTTTTATTTCAAGTAATAGTGGTACATGCACCTTATTTGTTGAATAAGTCTTATTTTCCCCATTGGTATGAAATATCAATTTAATAATATATAACACTATTAGATATATACATTTATTTTGAGAATGCTCATTTTATTTCATTGATCCACTTGATTATTTCTGTGCTAGTGTCATGCAATTTTAATTGCTGAGACTTTAGAATGGATTTAAATTTTTAAATATTTTATCATTGATTTTGACATTAAAAAAAATCTGCATTGAAAAAGAAAAAGAAATAAACAAAGAGGAAACTCCTACCTTTTGCGACAGCATGGACAGAACTGGAGAATATTATGTTAAGTTAAATAAGCCAGTCAGTGAAAGACAAATACCATATGATTTCATCTCGAAGTGGAATCTATTCAACAAAGTAAACTAACGAACAAAATAAACCGCAGGTATGAAAACATGGAGCTGACTGAAACTGACCAGAGGGGAGGGGGAAGGAGGACAATGGTAGAAAGAAGGAGAAGGGACTAAACAAACATGTATGAATGACCCATGGTCGTGGACAACAGAGTGGGAACTGACGCGGGGGGGGGGGTGGGTGGGTGGAGGAGGGTAAAGGGGGAAAAATTGAGACAACTGTAATAGAATAAACATGATTTAAAAATAAAAATTTAAAAAAATTAAGAGAGAGAATGCAGCCTTTTCCAAAAAAAAAAAAAAAAAATTTTTTTTTTTGAGGATAAAATGAGAAAGCTAATGGTGAACTGAGTCAAGATTCTGGCCCCTGTGACGTTAGAATTTCACCATGGTTATATCATTTAACGTTAAGGACCATATATTCACCAGGATGTAAGTTATCCTAATATTTAATTTGGAAAAAAAAAGGTATCCTGCTTCCGGCCAAGATGGAAGTGTAGGTAACATACACTTCGCTTCTTCACATGACCAAAAAAAAAGGATAACAACCAATTTAAAAACAAAAACCAACCAGAACTGCCAGAAAATTGAACTGTATGGGAGTCCAACAACCAAGGAGTTAATGAAGAAACATTCATCTAGACTGGTAGGAGGGGCAGAGACGAGTGGCCAGGGTGGAGAGGATGCATGGCAATGGGGTGGCTGGCGGACCTGGGGATCCCTCTTTCACGTGCAGATAAACCAGGATGAACAACGGGGGAGTGAGACAGACTGCTCAACCCAGGGATCCAGAGCAGGGGAAAGAGAGCCTCAAAACCTCTGGCTATAAAAATCTGTGAGGGTTGTGGTGGTGGGAGAAACTGCCAGTCTCACAGGAAAGTCTGTTGGAGAGGCCCATTGGGGTCCTAGAAAATACACAAGCCCACTTGACCTGGGAATCAGCACCAGAAGGATGCAATTCATTTGTGAGTATTGGGGGAAGTGACTGAAAGCAGGGCGAAAGCCGAGTAAGCAGCATTGTTCCCTCTCTGACCCCTCATTAACATACAGTGCCATAATGCAGTGAAGTGAGTTGTCTCACCCTGGCAATACCTAAGGGTGCACCCCTTACAATGTAACGGGTGCACTGAGACAAAGAAATGTGGCCCAAATGAAAAAACAGATCAAAACTCCAGAAAAAAGAACTAAGTGATAAGGAGACAGCCAACCTATCAGATGCAGAATTCAAAACACAGGTCATCAGGATGCATACAGAAATGATTGAGTATGGCCACAAAATAAAGGAAGAAGTGAAGGCTATAAAAAGTGAAATAAAGAAAAATATACAGGGAAGCAACAGTGAAGGGAAGGAAACTGGGACTCAAATCAACGATTTGCAACAGAAGGAAGAAATAAACATTCAACTGGAACAGAATGAAGAAACAAGAATTAAAAAACAAACAAACAAACAAACAGAAAGTGAGAAGAGGCTTAGGAACCTCTGGAACAACTTTGTAAGTTCCAACATCCAAATCAATAGGGGTGCCAGAAGGAGAAGAGGAAGAGCAAGAAATCGAAAACTTATTTGAAAAAATAATGAAGCAAAACTAAACATTAACATCCAGGAAGCTCAGAGAGTCCCAAAGAAGTTAGATACAAGGAGGAACACATCAAGGCACATCATGATTAAGTTACCCAAGATTAAAATAAAGAGACTCTTAAGGGCAGCAAGAGAAAAGGGAACAGTTACCTATAAAGGAGTTGCCATAACTATCAAGTAATCCTCAAAAGAAACCTTGAAGGCCAGAAGCGGCTGGCAAGAAGTTTTCAAAGTCATGAAAAGCAAGGACCTACAACCCGGATTACTCTACCCAGCAAAGCTGTCTTTTAGAATGGAAGGGCAGATAAAGTGCTTCCCAGATAAGGTCAAGTTAAAGGAGTCCATCATCACCAAGCCACTGTCACATGAAATGTTAAAGGGACTTATCTAAGAAAAAGACTAGAACTATGAACAGTAAAATGAAAACAAACTCACAACTTTCAACAACTGAACAAAAAAAACCAAAACCAAAACCAAACCAAGCAAACAACTAGAACAGAATCCCAGAAATGGAGATCACATGGAGGGTTATCAGCAGGGAAGGGAAGGGGGGAAAATGAGGGGAAAGGTACAGGGAATAAGCAGCATAACTGGTAGGTACAAAATAGACATGGAGAGCTTAAGAATAGTATAGGAAATGGAGAAGCCAAGGAACTTATATATACGACTCATGGACATGAACTGAAAAGGGGGAGATGCTGGGGGAAGTGGGGTGCGGGGAAAAATGGGTCAACTGTAGTAACATAATCAATAAAATATACTTAAAAAATAAAATAACATATCCTAAACCAAAAGAGGTCACTTTCAATGATCCATATTAATAAAGAAAGATGAGTAATAATTTTTTAAAGTATGAATTTTACCCTAAGAACATTTGAAGTATGCTATATTGGTAACCTCTTGTGAAAATTAATCACTGCATTAATTCTAGAATATCATACATATCTGCAAATACAGTACCAAAGGCAGATCCTTGTAGCATAACATTTAGTATGCTGATAAAAAATGAGCTGTGAAACTCAAATATCACTTCATATATCACGTTTATGAAGTCAAGAATGTTAAATTTATTACTTTTAAAATAAGCTAAAATTAGCAAAAATAATATAAACTAAGACAAATCTGGCACTTTACCTTTGTTCTCACAAAGAATGACTTGTCTTCTGCCTCAACGAGGTAGAAAAGAAAGGTGCTTTTGCAAGCCTCTTTCACAACACTTTTTAGTTTGACATGCAAACTGGTACACAAGTCTGTAATCATGTCTTCATAGGAGGCTGACCTTCTTGGAAAAGATGAATACATCTCTTGAGATGTGGCTTCTCCAGAACTAACATTTGACTCTTTATCTCTGAAAACGACTTGGTTGCTATTCATCATTACTTTGTTGAATTCCGCATATTCTTTGAGAATAAGGGAGATATCATTCCGAGATTCCTTCAAAGTACTATTATATTTCAGTTTGTTGAGGTGGAAGGGAACAGTCTGATTTCTTTCAGAATGTGTAAGATGATTTCTCCTGTGATCACACCTTCCCTCCCAAAAGGAAGAACTGTCCAAATATCTATACATGTGGCCTCTCAGGTGCTGGCTCTGTTCTTTGGCATCTGAGTGTATGATTGTTATCAGGAGGGGACTTCTGCTCCGGGATGGAGGATGGAGAACTGGAGACGCAGATGTTTTTGGCAAAGGGAAAGCTTCAGCAGCAATTTGGAGGGGTTGCTCCTTAAAAAAGATGTTGGTGGAAAAGGCAGAATGCTGAGAATTCCCACTCTTTACAACTTGTTTCAGTTTCTGTTCAAAGCGCAGATATTCTAGATCTAAAGTGTTCTGTGTAAGGTCGTCCGCCTCCTGCCAAGTATTTGTCCAGGAGCTAAGCAAGCCATGTTTAGCAGTAAAGTTGGAGTGCCTCCTCAAGCTGTGCGAAGTTCTCTTGGTATCTTTGAGCTCTTTAGTTATAGTAAAGTTTGCATAAGTCCTGGGGATACCATGAAGATCTCTGATTTGTACGTAACATGGCACACACTTATCATTTTTTAATCCAACAGACCAATTTCGGGGAGGTATGCTGGTCTCTAACCCTGGAACTCGATTAGAGTAGCCTCTATCTTCATTATCACTATTGTTTGGGCTCAAGAAAGAGTCATAACCATCTTTTGAAGCACCTTTCTTGTGACTACATCGCAAAGTACAGGAACCCTCCATGTCTAATTTGAGATTTCTACAATCACCAAATGAGTCTTGATCAGAGTCTCCAGAAAGTGGTTCATAATGGATGTCAGAATTCACACTAATATCCATGTCTCCACCCAAGGTTTCAGAGTCCTCCTCGGCCCTGACAGAGTCACCACAAACAAGAGGGGCACAAGATTTGGAAACAAAAAAGGCAGAAGGCTCTTTAGTGACATTTTCACTGGTGACTGCTGTATTTTGGTAGGAACCAGCATATAAATACATGGGGGAAAGCCTGCCATTCAACAGATCTTTTGTTTTGCATATTGACGTATCTTGTGGCACAGGGATGTTTTTTTGCTTGCCTTTTGGAGACATGGGGTTTGAATTAGAGCCAACACAACCTAGGTCTATGTTTCTTTCATGTAACTCAGCTTCAGTATCACTATTCTTAAGCAAACTGGCCATTCTGACTACTGATATTTCCTGTGTTTGAAACCCTGCCTCTGTATTTATGGGTCTTGTACAATGGGTTAAAGTAGTGCCACCTAAGGAAAAAGCAAGTTTTGGGATGTCTGAGTGCATCTGTACCTGTGTATTATCAGCTTCATCAACTGAGTCTGAGCTCAAGGACTGGGCTTGCATGTAATCACCATCATTTGTTTTGAAATCACTGCTAAAGAGATTCTCATTAATATTTTTCACTATATCACCTGGGACACTTGCTGAAACAAATGTGTCAACCAAAGACTTGCTTTCCATAATCTTTCTAGGACTAAATGGAAGCTCACTGGTCTCCAAGGCAAGGTGATTTAAGTCCGAATTTCTGTTCTCTAAACTAATTGGCTGTAATGGATTTCCTGACATTACCAATTTTTCTGGAGAAGTCTTGAAATCAGCTCTGTAAGTGGCAGTTGAGGCAGGCTGGTTTAACTCTGTATGGCAGCATGGCACCTTTTCTGAGAAAGAGAAACCCTTATACTCATTTGGGACAATTTCCTCAGTTACTTTACCCAGCAAGGTTAAATGTCTATCTTTTTTTCCTGGATGATTACTTAATACTAGAGGCATTTCAGCAGAAAGTTTTATTTGTTGTATCCGAGTTAAGTTATCTTGTCCCACTGGATAGATAGGACCAACATAAGAATTTTCTTTTTCTCTTAAGGCCAAATCTACTGACTTAATCTGAGAGAATTTTTCACTTTTCCCACACTGTATATTAGGATGTTTTAAAATACAGGGAGACACAGCCCGAGATGGTTCTATTTCTTCAACTGGTACCTGGGGGTCAGGACTAGAAGCTGGTGATACTTCCTCAATTAAAGAACTAAAGGGAAAGTCTGAGGTAACATTAACTTCCTCTGTGAGCTCAAGGGGACAGGTTTCTTTAGGAAGCATTAAAGTAACCACTTCTAAGTTATCATCTTTTCTCTCCTTTTCTAATGGTTTCTCTGACATTGTACAAGGCATTGATGTATATTTAGCAGAATTCACTTCTCTGTTTTCTATTAAAGTCACCTTTTCTGGCTCAATTATGTCTTCATCCATATCCTGGAGTTCTAAATTTGATAATGGGGCTTTCTGATGTTGCTCTGTTTCAACAGCTGGAGTTTCTTCTCTGGGACTTGTAGGTGGTGATATTGTGAGAGTTAGGTCAATGTCAGAATCTTCCTCTAACTCTAGACTGATATCCTCTCCATTTGCAGATAGGCTGGTTTGTTTAGCAAATGTTGAATTAAAAGATTCAAAGTTCCTATTTTCACCATTTAGACTGCTCCTGTCACTCTTTAAATCTACAGAGCCACTTAATGTATTACTTCTTGATGGAATGCAGTTAAGTGAGTAATTTTTTTGCAATGTGGCAGAGGGTGATGATGAGGCTTCTTCTTCAGTTTGTGATGGCTCCAAAATCTCTTCTGAAGGCATGTTTAAGAGACTCTTAGGCTGCAGAAAAAATTCTTGAGAGAGTTTCATTTCTTCTTTGGGTAATAGATAATTAGAACTTTTAACCAATGATAATGCCTCCTTTTCCAAAGAATTATCAGGTGATGATGATGAGCCTGGAACAGGATCTTTCTGTAATGAACACGTTTTGTTATCAGCTAGTGTCTCTCTACTTACCGAGGAAGCAAAAAGGTACTTAGTGTCTTTTTCTCCCAATGTCGCTAGAGACAGAATGTCCTTAAGACTTTGTGTTTGTACCTTTTCAAAAGTGGACACAGGAAGTCTAAGACTTGTAGCAGGTGATACTTGTTTTATCAACTCCATATTAAACGTTGCAGGTTTATCAGCTCTATTTACAATTTCTGTCTGTATTGGTATACAGGCTTTTTCAAAAGTGAGAGTAACTGGTTCCAGATTAATCATTACATACCCCATATCATCCTTCTTTTCCAATGAAGGTTGACGTCCTTTGGTTTGGGGGCTGCTATGCTGCATAAGGGCCTGTAAACCACTTGCTTTTGCTTGCATTGCTGCATGAAAAATATCAGCTTTGCTCTCTAGGGTGCTATACGACGGTTTTTGACAAATCACTGACTGATTGCTAATCCCATCACAAGTCTTGGTGAATGTGGTTTGCGTGAGAGTATCATAAGAAGTCACTCTTGTGCTATGAAGTGGCTCAAAGGTTTTCTCTTCACCAGGAGTAGAAGGTCCATTAGTTTGGGTACCTCCAATGCTAGAATGCACAAGATTAGAAGTCTCTAGTTTATTTGCTGATTCTGGTTTGGCTTTCTCCTCAATTATCTGAAATGACCAAAGTAAAAACAAAAAAATCGAGTCAAAAAGACTTTTTTTAACATTTACATGTGAAAAACAGAATAGTCAAGGATTAATTTTAATTTTATTCTTTTTAATCTTCTATAAGAACAAGACAGGGTAAAGATCAAACAAATCCCTCTCTTTTTAGACAGGTTTAAAATACCCCACGAATAGGAATTTGTTTTCTTTAAACATATAACAGACAGATGAGAGCTCCAAAACTTTTTAATTATACAGCCCATTTTTTAAAGGACTTCTAGGAAGAAAAATGGCTAGACCACTGACAATTTAAGGCCTTGAAAATGTACCCTGTTTGCTAAATAGCATTGCTTCATTTGGAAATGCAGCTCTAGAGAATAAGTACTCAATTTTCAGTATTTTTAGTAAGATTAAAAGATAATTTTTTAAAGCAAAGAATAACTTTATTTTAAACAACAGCTTTCAATAGGTTATAAACACATTGTCATCTGGAAATTTCCCATAAGAACACAGACTGATTACTATCTCTTGTACACAGAATACAACAGTATCAGTCTCCATTCTGGTGAATGAAAGCCCCTTATCCCTCAGCTATCTCCTTTGCTTGTAACTGGAGATAATTTTTCACTCATTGTTATCTCCTATTTTAAAGAGCGAAGTGCAGTTTGCATGAATAAACTGAACCAAAGGGAATGATGGTTACTGTGGATCTGGGTTAAACATTACTACCTCTGAATAATTCTGATAATCTCATACACAAGTCATTGTTCTGTTTTTTGTTTTTTTAAAAGGCTGAAGCATAGTCTTGTACAGAATATGGTAAAGTGGACTGATCATACAATTGACCATACACTTGTAATTTTGGGAACGTTGTGGCCACAGATTTCCTGCCATGTCTTGAGACCGTGTTTCAAACCTCACTAAAAACATTTCTGTCTTGACTCAAGACATAGAGCTGAGTAACTGGCAGGATGAAGCTGAGATTCAATAGTTTTAAGAGACTATGACTGGACAGGTACAAAACATAGAAAAATCTTAATGCTAAGAGTTGTTCTGAAATCTTTTATGTGACCCTCACACCTAATCACACTGTAACTGTTAATGTTTGATCAAACTCCTGAATCTCACCATGCCTGTGGTCTTAGGAAAATGCAAATTGTGATAATCTTGATATGCTTAGACTAATATATATTTTTTGACTACAAGTGAAGTGTAATGTTTCTAAAGCAAAGTGAGATCATTTGAAAGAACTGCAGAATTAAACACACAACTAAAAGGAACATGCCATTGGTTTCTAATACCCATTTTGTGCTAGAATTATTTTGGATCCTAGTTTGCCCACTTGTAGAATAAAGGACTGGTATAGCACATGTGTGTACACCTTTAAAATACAGGCACAGTATCCAGGAAGATAATGGAAAAAATTTTAAGTATATCCTATAGAAATTTTTAGAAATCATTAATTTTAATATTCTTCCTCCTTAATACTCTATTTCATGTTAGCAAAAGACCATTCCTAAAATTAGTACTGATGATAATTATATATTACCACAACAAAATACTTCATAAGAATCTAATGTGTGTGTATGTATGTATATTAGTCAGAATTAGCCTGACTAAACTATAAGTATTTTCTTATTCTAAGGTAGTTATTCTTAACTGGATTTTATGAATCTCTTTGAGAATCAGATCATATTTATGAACCACATCAAGAGAAAAATCATATACATACATAAAACATAAATATATATGTATATACACACAGAATTTGACGTTAAGAAACAACTGGATTGCCTAGATTTGAACTGTGGTTTGGTAATTTACTATGTGACTTCAGAGAATTTCCGTAATCCTCTATGCCTTAGTATCCTCATCTATAATAAGGGAAGAATGACCCTTACCTCATAGGGTTTTATGAGAATTAACCAAGTTAATATGAGCAAAGGGCTCAGGCCACTATCTGGCCCATAGCACTCCATCAGTCTTCATTTTGATGATGAAGATGAGCATTTGGAGATATTCACAGGCCCTTGGACCTGCAAATCTCCAAGTAACCCTAGGTATAGAAACACTGTACTCAAGTGAAGACAGGCACTGTAGGTATCCAAATCCATGCAAAATTATTCTGAAATAAAGCTTAAAAGGCAAGCATTTTGTCAATCCACTTACTAAGAATCTTAATATTATTAAGTTTTTATTTGCTCCAGTTAAAATTTAATTATCTGGCCTGGTTGAACATCATTTGACAAAAGTAGAATGAAGCAAAGTATATTTAGTTATCTATAGGCTTGTGAGAGGTCTGGCATTTTAGTTACTGTTCCAGCATTTGTTTCAAAAATAACTTTAATATATATTCAATTTAATGTTTATCAAAGATTTCTAATATTATTATTATCACATCGGATCCTTTAACATCATTCTGGGTAAGACATATAATGAGTATTATTCGCCTCTTTTACTAAGAAAAATAAGCTCAGAGAGAACAGGTAGTTTGCCCTATTATACAAAAAAACAAGTGACACAATTATGGCTGGCTCCCAGATCATCTGAACCCCATGATTTTTTACTTCTGTTTCTTCAATCAGGAAGACAGATGCTCCACCTGCAAACTAGAACAACACTTATGAAAACTAAGTTTTGAGCATTATAACCCTTTTCAAAACTAGAGAATCTACTTTCCTAGAAGAAATGAATGCCTTGCTTTGGGTGTGATTTTACATAGAAAGGGGAAAAAAAGGAAAGAATGTTTTAAAAAATGGCAGGATTTGTATTCAGCTTTACTTACCTCATTATTATAAGAATAGATAAAATTCTGGTTTTCTGGGGTATCTGGATGACCTTCTCTTGCAAAAATTTCTTTCTGTTCCTTCTGTACCCAGAGTTCCAAGCCTCTTGCAGGTGGTGGTTTAATGAAAGGAAGCAAGGAGTTAGTGTCAGGGAAAGACACTTCAGCACTGTGACCTCTGGGAGTTTTCTTTGTCTCCAATAAAGGGGCTACAGAGCACCTTTCCGCACTGGGGGACTCCTCAATTTCACTGAATTCAAAAGATTCTATTGTGCTATTTATAGACACATATTTGGCGGGGTTGCTGTGTTCTACTACTTTTCGGGATGATCGTATGACTTTGTTCTGATTGCTGTAAAACAGAGCTACCCACATATGAAGTAAAAGCTTCACTTCTTCCACATTATCAGGTAAATCAGTGTTCCAGGGCCTAAGATTATAAAAAAACAAACAAACAAAAAACATACAAAAATTATTGAAAATGGTTATTTTAGTTGATTATCTTATAAGCAAGTGCCTTCTTATTAATATTATTTTTGTGTTAATTTTTATTTAAAAAATTACATGAACATGAAACAATGAATAAAATAATAAAGAAGTTGATTTAACAAAAATTACAATGAATTTAATCTATTCATTTTACATAGAGAAAGGAACTGAAGATCAAAGTTTTAAGTGATTTCTTTCAAATCACAAAACCTATAAATGGTAGAAAACATGATAAAAAAAAATAGACCTCCCAATTCCCAATCTCTGAATTTTTTTTCCTAACATGCAAACTCTCCTGGTTACAGTATACCTATTATATGGATAAAGGATTCAGCAACTGCCCAAGTCCTCATTTTCTTGCTTTTGCTAAGTTTGGCTCACTCGTTTCTACTTTTGCACTTGTCTTCTAATAATTGGGAAAGTTCAAAGGTTAAATTAACTCTGTGGGCAATTCAGCAGAACTATATCATTTTCATATCGCAGTTCTAGAAAATCTCCTGAAATCAAAAGGTGAGATACAAAACAGTTTTGGCCACTGCCAGACAAAAAGATAGCAGAGAGCTGGATTGGGGTGAGCCAGAGGGTCTATAGAACTAAGTTTCAGTTAAATACAATTAAGGCTAAGGAAATGGCCCTCATCAGTATGTGGGAATGTATGCTCTTCTGAGTGTGAGCTCATAACTGGAGCAAGGAAAGCAATCTGACACACAATTTTGTCACTCACATATCAAATATTCCACCAATAGGTAGCTCGATGTCATTTATACAGCTAATGCTTCCTGTTGACAGTAATGGTTACCATTCATTAGTATATGACAATCACTGTGCAAAACCCTAATGCATACACAGTCATACCTTGGTACTTGTACTCATCAAACCCTACAGTCATCGCATTTTGATGAGAAAAAATGTTTTAGCATTCAGTACTTATTCAAGACTCATCGCACTTGCTAGAACTTGTACAAGTCATGATGCCAGCCCATAAAAGAAAATGTTTCATCACTCGTCTGTACTTGTCAGCTTCAGCACTCGTCATGAGTTCCAGAACGAATGAATGACGAGAACTGAGGTACCACTGTAACATCCTCATAATGTAGCTACTACTGAACCCACACTTAAGTGTTTAACACTCCACAGGCATTGTCTGGAAATTTGTTAGACATGTAGACTCTCAGTCACCATTCCAAACAGACCGAGTCAGAATCTGCAGTTCAATGAGATCCCTAAAAGAGTTGTGCACACAATAAAGACTGAGAAGCACTGTCCTGAAGCACAGGAACTTCTGGGTCACAGAAGTCAGCAAGTGGGAGAGCCTAGATAAAAAACCATATTAGTCCACACTCTAAAGCCCATGCTTTCTGCCACTCTGCTATTACTCCCTTGACCCTTTTGAGGAAGATTTACAGAACAACCCCTTGTAAAACCCCTCATTCATAGCAATATGATCAACTTCACAAGCTAGAAGTAATTCTTTGTATGTTTCTTCTGAAATTCAGTCTTTAAAGTGTTATTTCTGTATCTCACTATTTTACATTAAGATCTAGTATAAATATAATTCAAAGACTACAAAGGCTTATGAAGGAGCATCTCAAAACGGAAAGCCCTTTACAGGGCTAAAGTTACGCTGCAAAAGTTCTCCATATAATCACTGATAGATAATGGCAGAACCAGCCTCGTGTTCTTCAGTATCAGTAAACACAACTGCTTGATATTATTATTGACTCACTGAATTTACATACAACACTGCTTTCTCCTTTCCCAAAGTTTGGCACAAATATTTCTATTCACTGCACTTAACCTCAACAGGAAATTCACCTCTGTTTTCATCAAGTTTCACCCCTACTTACCCATGTAATGCTCTTAGCACAGTTTTCTCCAGTGGATTGTTGGTGTATTTGCTGTCTAAGCTGAATACATAGTTTGTTTCACATTTGAAAGTGACCTTGAAAGAGCCGTCACAACGGAACACGGTATGAGAGCAGTAGAAGTCTCTCAAGCTGGAGGACAGCAATCTGTTCCTGCGCTTCAGTACTGGGTCCGCAGAAAGCTTTTGAAGAGGGGAGGTGTTCTGCTGGTGGCGAAATGGCATTACTTTTCCCACTGGGGTTCCTGCCTCAGGGCCTTTTGTACCATTCTTGGTGAAGGCAGGGCCGGGTACCCCTCTCTGCTGTAGCAGCTTCTTTGAATGTTCTGCAAGGAGCAGGGCATAGGAATGTTCCACAGCAACAAAAGAACTTTGGCTTGCATCAGAAGTTTCTAGTGTCTCTTCAGGAAGTGCCAACTGGGCTTCAACAGGGTCCTGATTGACAGGACCCTCATCTTGGCTGACAGTGGAGTCTGCCATCAGATTACTCTTCCTATCAGAGAAGGGCTGAGGTAACGGTCCCCCTTTTAGACTTCTAACTCCTCTATGATATTCATGGTCAGATGTACTGCTCACAGAATGTCCTTTAGAAAGCAAAACATCGTTCTGTGGCAATCCAGAAGAGCAGGGAAGGTTTCTGGGCTCAGATGGTGGTGTTGTAGAGGTAGCAGCGCTTAATGCTAGATCAGCTAACAGATTTAGGGCTTGGGAGTCACAACTGACAATGGAGTTCTCAACTGGAGCTTTCTGAGCCACTGTAATATTTTCTGGTTGAGGTGTATTTATACTAGTAACATCTTCTTGCCCGTGTGATGAAATTTTTGATTGAAGCTGTGAAGCAGTTTCTCCCTTGGCTTCAATATAAAAGAAAAAAACACATAGCATTTGATTTCCATATAATTAAATCTTTGCTATATTATTATGGCTTAGTGCAAATTAAGGGTCATTTCAAGAAAAACCTTTTGATATGCTGCATAAACAGTATATTAAAATTTTACTATCAGACTGAGGTCTCTTCCAACTCTCAGATCTATTATAATGCAATTACCAGAGAGACAAGTCCTAAAGAATGTGGATATTAACAAGAAATCACCCTTCAAAAATGCACGTCTTGAACTACACACAAGACATCCTGCTCGGCTGAAAGAATACACCAAAAACAGAGAACAAGAGTCCTGCCCTCAGAGAGCTTACAATCTAGTGCAAATATAAGAATTTCGAAGTTTGAATTGTATGTTAACATACTTTCTTAGAAATCATTTCCCTTAACACGTGATTAGAGAAATCACCCAGTTCAATAGATGATAATTTTAACCATACTGATATCTAATTAAAATATGCAATCATATGAATACAAATTTTTAAAGTCAGGAGTATTCAGAATAGTTAGCTGAGTCCATCACCTTCTAAAACTTTAATTTCTGCACTGAAAACATCCTCTGTATCTGCAAAATAGCAAATCTTCTTGTCTACTGATAATACTCTTTATTGATAATCAAATCTACCTAACCCATTTGCCTTTAATTAGAAAACTGACAATCTCAAGTGGTTGATTTGCATTCTTAGGACACAGATTCAGCCTTCTTAAATGCAGTTATCATGAAGGACAAAATTCATAATACTAGGCAACAATTCCCTGTAGCCAAGTGGGTAGACGGACAAAAAAGCTAACTGTGCCCCCTTTATAATTAACAGCAGCAGGTCTGGAATGAATTATTATTAACCTTCCTGCAAAGGTCAATGACTGACTTGCCAGTGTAGGCAGACATAGCTTGCCTCTTCACACAACCACATCAAAATTACAACTAAAATATAAAACCACCATCACTCAAAGTCATCAGAAATCAAGATGAATGGAAGTCTGACAACTACAAAATTGAGTTGAATGGAAGTCTGACAACTACAGAATTAAACAAACCACATCCATCCAACCTGGTAGGAGGGGTGCAGACACTGAACAGGCCAGTCCCACACCCAAGTGTGGTGGATAAAAATTTGGGAGGGACAGCTTGGAAATGAGGAGTCCCAGCCCCACACCAGGCCGCTACAGCCCAGGGTTCCTGTGCCAGGAAGGTAAGTCCCCATAACTTCTGGCTGCAAAAACCAGTGGGGATTGGATTGGTGGAAGAAACTGCTGGAGCCCCAAGCAGTTACTCTTGAAGACCCACACAGTGACTCACCTACTCAATCTCATTCCCTCTGAGCTCCATTACTTGGGTAGCAGCTTGAAAGGCACCAGTGGTATACAGGGAGAAACTGAAGTGTTAGATATCAAAGTTAACGGAGGCCACTGTCCTTTTTCTAAACTCTCCCCACAAAGAGCCCACAAGCTGTGGCCATATCTGAGACTCCATCACCCTGGCTAACACTATTTGACCTTCCTTGGAGATCCCCAGAGACTGCCCTACCCAACATACCAGCTAACCCAGGCTGCTTTTCCACATGAATGCATGGCTTATACTTCACAACTTCTTAAATCCTAACGAACAAGCAATAGCTGACTTCAGGGAGCTCCAGGCCCAGCACTAGCAGCTGCCAGCTTAGAGCCACAGCTTGGCCTCACCTGGGAATCTCCAAGTCCAGCACAAGTAGCAGCCATCTCAGGTTGCTTTATAGCTCAGGCAGGGTGATCCCAGCGCACCCGGTGGACAGCTACAGATCACTTCAGAACACCACCACCCTCCCTCTACACAGCTGATCCTCCATGGAGGGCAGAGGTTGGTGGTCAGTGGTCACAGCCAATCCTTGCAGCTGACTGGCCTGGGTAAATCCCTCCCATTGATCTGCCAACAGCAACCAAGGCTTAGCTACAAGAGGAGGGTTTACTCAGCCCACACGAATAGTGCACCTTGAGTGCCCAGCTTGGGTGACAGAAGAGGCTATGCCACTGGACCCTACAGGACACCTACTACATTAAGCCACACTACCATGACACTGAGTCAAAGCAACTCTACCTAATATATAGAAACAAACACAGGGAGGCTGCCAAAACTAAGAGTCAAAGGCTCAAATAAAAGGACAGATAAAAGCTCCAAAAAATGAACTAAGCAAACCAGAGATAAGTAATCTATCAGATGCAGAGTTCAGAACAGTGGTTATAAGGATGCTCAAGGACCTTAGTGAGGACCTCAGCAACATAAAAAAGATCCAGTCAGAAACAAGTACACTGATTGAAATAAAGAACAATTTATAGGGAGACAACAGTAGAGTGGATGAAGCCGATAATCAAATCAATAATATAAAACATAAGGAACCAAAAAACCACCAATCAGAATAAGAAGAAAAACAAAAAAAAAATAAGGATGGCATAAGCAGCCTCTGGGACAACTCCAAGAGGTCCAACATTGACATCATAAGGGTGCCAGAAAAAGAGAAAGAGCAAGAAATTGGAAATCTATTTGAAAAAATAGTTAAAGAAAACTTTCCTAACCTGGTGAAGGAAATAAGACATACAAGTCCAGGAAGCACAGAGTCCCAAACAAATGGATGCAAAGAGGCCCACTCCAAGACACATCATAATTAAAATGCCAAAGGCTAAAGATAAAATCTTAAAAACAGCAAGAGAAAAGCAGTTAGTTACCTACAGAAGAGTTGCCATAAGGCTGTCAGCTGATTTCTCAAAAGGAACTTTGCAGGCCAGAAAGGACTGGCAAGAAATAGTCAGTCATGAAAAACAGGGACCCACAGCCAAGACTGCTCTACCCAGCAAAGCTATCATTTAGAATTGAATGGCAGATGAAGAGCCTACCAGACAAGAAAAAACTGAAGGAGTTCATCACCACCAAGCCATTATTACATGAAATGTTCAAGTGACTTAAGAAAAAAATCAAAACTATGAACAATAAATACGTATGTATTAATAATTGAACCTAAAAAACCAACTAAGCAAACAAGAACAGAGAGAGAATCATGGATACGGAGAATGTTTTGATGGCTGCCAGATGGGAGCGAGGTGGGGAGAATGGGTGAAGTGGTGAGGGGATTAAGTACAAATAGGTAGTTACAGACTAGCCATGGGGATATAAAGTACAGTGCAGGAGACTGGAGTAGCCAAAGAACTTATATGCATGACCCATGAACATCAACAATGGTGAAGGGGTCGCCTGAGGGAGTAGGGGGTGCTGGGTGGAGCAGGGCAAAGGAAGAAAAATCAGGACAACTATAATAGCATAATCAACAAAATATAATTTTAAAAGAAGCCAATGACTGATACATTTAAAAAGAAGAAAACTCTGGTCTATGTAAGAAAAGTGTGCCTATATGATAGGGAGGGTAAAACTAATCAAGCACTGTCCAGTTTTTATTTAAAATAGCAAAACCCAAGGGGCTTGTTGGAATAAAGTGACTCGAAAAAAAAAGCCTAGAATTGTCTCATTAGCTCCAGGTGTACTGGAAACATAAAATTCATTTTATGTTTTTGACACTAATTTATTGAGACTAATTTCATCCTATCTTTGTTAACAGTATGGCTTTTACACAGAGTATCAACTATGAATATGGTTAAGACAAAGAATACTGTACTGAAGTCAAGAAAAAGGGTTTGAGTTAATAAATATGCACAGTTTTGAGTAAATCATTTAATTACTGACTTGTTAGAGGTTCCCAATTGAAAATACAATACTGATAAGCTATCTTAAAAATACAGGTAAGAGAATGTCAAATGAATTACATAAAAAAAAATAAAGAATTCTCTAAGTAAAAACTATATTGAAAACTTTAGAAAGGATAGAAAAATCATTAGTTTCAGTAATAAAATGAATGGACCTTCTTAAACTCTTGATATTTCAAGCGTAAGAAATGAAACACATTGTAAGAAATAAAAGAAAAATTAAGAGATTTAAAAGGTGGTAATCTTAAAATTTTAACTTGAAAAGTGGCTGCATAATGTATACAAATATTTGCAACACAAGTCAGCCTATTTCTGCATACATTATTTTCAAAACTTTTTATTTTCTGGGCTCATTTTCTGCCAATACCCAATTGTAGACACCTTCTTCCCATTAGTCAGTTAGTCTACAACTATCCGAGAGCCAATTTTATAAAGCATTGAAATGACACGGCTAAGAATAGAGGTATTATATGTGTACATCCTCATGTTACACAGCAAATGATTGGAAAAGAGTTATGAATTCTATAATGTTCTCAAAAACCAAAAAAGAAATGAGAGAAAAGGGAGAGATCAGTGAAGATCATAGCAGGAAGAAAATGTCTCACTAAGGAGGCAACTTAGCTGAGCAGATCTGGACTAATGGAGGGGAAAGGCACAGGAGAATAAAGAAGTATGATGCCTGTGGTGAGGCACTGGCAGGAAAGGAACATGTTAGGAAAGAGCAGAAGAGAAATATGGGCTCTGGGGTCTTGTAAGAGCACATTAACTGCCTTGAAAGAGAAGCAGAGATTCTGGTATGGATGACAAAATTGGAACACTATGGGCTTTACAATATGATGAGATATGATGAACTTTTAAAAAATATTCAGCCGCCAATATTAAAAAAAAAAAACTTAGAAAATAAAAACCAGCTCACCCCTAATACCATTACCCAAACAAAACTTTAGTTTCTTTCTCTACAATCTCACCAAATACAGGATTTTTTTAAAAGCTAAAAATACATTAAGGGAGAAAGGAGATCAAGTAGACAGAAAATTGATAGAAATATAAAGGTATAAAACAAACAAAAAAATACAATATAATAGGACTCAATACTGGAGATAAGTAGAACTGCACTATGCACAGAAAGAGGAAAGTGAAGAAGGGATGTAAACCTGGGATAAGAGCAGGTGTCTGTTCCGTTTCAGAGGTAAAGTCATGGTGACAATGCAAAAAGGGTCTGTCTAGCAGTTTGAAACACAGAACTAAATCAGTCAGTTGTTTGTTCATATAATTAAGCTTCATTATCCACTTAGGAAAATTAGGAAAGTATAACTGCTTTTAAAATAAATTTAATGTCTTTTAAAACCAAATACAGGATTCTGTATTACTATTTTGAACAATCTTTTTAGAATTTTCTTTGGACAGTTATTGCTTACATTTTATAACTGATTATGGTCCACAAACACAGTGCCAGATACTACTTGCTTGTGCATTTAGTCATAAAAATGGCCATTTATAACTCTTGTAGACAATTCATGTTCAGGCTTTATGCAAACTAAAAAATAGGTCTATTTTGTGATATTTGAATCCTTTGCACTTTCCTAATTTATTTTCAATAGAAAATGAAGTTACTTAGTCCTGTTAGTGTCTGAATTAAAGAATATAACAATTGTGGATAGATTTTTAATTGTTTTTACATTATTTCAATATACTATCTTGCAACCTTGATTACTCTTTATGTGGTGTTTAAATTTACAGGAAGAGTATTTCTTACCAGGTTGTGGCTGCTTTCTGATTCTGGGATTCTGATTGCCTTTTACTATATTTACCCTCTGTTTTTGTGGAGATTTCTTCATAGGTGGCTTAGCCCTCGGAACAGTTTTGACTGGAGGTTTCTCTTGTTTCCTTGCCCTTTTAGCATTCGTTGCAACTGGAACATCTTTAGAAATAGAAGCTTCTTGGTTTTTCCTATCCAATTTGGTTGTCTGTACAAACAGTGCAGTCAGCACTTCAGCACCTTATGCAGAAAAAGGGGTAGGGGGCTCAGATATTTGTCAGCATTGCTTTTCCTTTTTTAGGGCGTAACTTTAGTAATGGGGAATAAAATATAAAATTTTGGGTATTTCATTAAAAATTTTTTTTTAACAAATCAGGACTTCAAAGTTCTCATATAAATATAAAAATATGAATTTGCTAAGTGTTGGTCTACATCCCTATCAGATGAAAAAGAAAAATATCAAAGTTAATAGCTTTAAAAAACAAGACATAATACAATTTTTCTAAAAGTCTCCATAATTTGCCACGACCAGTGTGGCTCAGTTGGTTGGGCATTGTCCTACAAAGCAAAAGGTTGCTGGTGCTATCCCCTATTGGGGCACATGCAAGAGGCAACATATCAATGTTTCTCTCTCACACTGGTGTTTCTCTCCCTCTCTAAAAAATAAATAAAATCTTTAAGAGAGATAAAAAATTTTAAAAAATCTCCATAATCTTTCCTAACATGGCAGGTTAAACCTGAATACGCTAGTTTATAACACTGGGAGACAGATAATGTATTGTACATAAAAGCAACACAGACCCTATAAGGTGATGTGGTTGAAACTATAATCACACTGCATAGAAGAAATTGTATATTTATAAAGTGCCATCTTATATATTTCCCTCTACTACTCCTAAATATCTAAGTCTTAATACCACCCCAAAAAATCATTTTTAAAGACAGAAAAAAGCACACTGAACAAAGTCTTCACCTGATTTAATTTCCTACAAATGTATTATAACAAATGCAGTTATAATTCATTTATTATACAAAATGCTCAGCTTTGCTTTTCACATGGAAGAAAATAGCTAAGATGGAGGCACAGGAGGAAAACACAACTAGTGACTACCTGCTTATATAACACAGTATAAAGTGTTTTAGTATTTTTTAAAAAGTGTAAGTGCTCCCTTTGGACACTTTATTAATATACTTTACCCATTGACTTTATGTAATTTCAGTTGTTTCCTACCAAAAGAAATTAGTTCCAAAGGTATCATATAAAATAATCACACATACAAATGTTGGCAAGTATCAATATTTTTAAATTACATTATGCAGAAAACAGTATTTCTAATTGAGAACAGAAAACGTGATACTGAACAGTTTAAGGAGTTGTGATCATTGCTACTGAAATGTAGAGGAGTCCAACTCATTTCATTTTGGAGGGTAGAGGTTAGAGAAAGGAGTGGTTTTAAAAAAGCTTTAGAATCTCAATGTTGTACATGTCCTGGGGTCTAATTATTTCCCTCCTTACTAAATAATAAAGTAGCAATTTTTTTAAAGGAATAAGACCTCTCATTCAGCCCGTTATATATTTTTAGCATAAATAAAAAAATATAAACAAATTAAGAATACAAAGCAGAAAAACTGTTAAGACTAAGAAGAAAGAAAATAAGATGAGATAACGAAGACTTAGGGGGAAGTTTTTACCATATGCACAGCAGGGAGGGAAATCTCTCACAACCTAGGTCCTGGGAGGAAAAAGTGAAACATGAAACAAGGTTGTCCTGCAGGGACACCTCTGCTTGTTTGTATCACTCAATTGCCAAGTTTTCAAACTGCATGAAATAATCCATTGACAGGTTATAAAATAAATGTAATGGGTTGCAACCAGATTCATTCTTAAACAAAAGAGAATGGTATAGAAAATATCAGATTGTATTACATGTAGGGCAAACATCTTTTGAAATTTTGTTTCAGTCATGTGTGAATTTGTGTGTACTGGACTACAAAATAAAACACATTTCTTACAGTGGATGAAATTTAAAACATCTGAGAAACACAATATATACGTAGAATTATAATTTATTTAAAATATTAAAGTAAATCAGTTTATACACAGCAGAAACTCAATATGGTTGGCCTGGAATTTATTTGTAAGTAGCTGTAATGTCTGATTCATTGCTTTCTATTGCCATACTTTCCAGCATGCCCCTAAACACATACACACACACCATTTTTGCAAACTCTAAGAGACCAGAAATAACTACTTGTTGAACCCCAGGGTAAAGCCCTAATCATCTCGAATCCTGGGGCTCTGCATATGCCTGATGTTTCTTCTTTAGGCACCAACATTTCTAGAATCAAAATAGTACAGATAGGGTTGACACACCTTTTTTGTGAAGGACCAGACAGTGCATTTTCAGTTTTGAAGGTCATGTGTTCTTGGTCACAACCACTAACCTCTGCCAACATCATGTGATGTGGCCAGAGACAACAGGTTGAGAGGCCCCTTGACCACACTTTGCTGATCCCTTCTCTAAGGGGTCATATAGCATATAGTTCCCTACTTTTCAACAAAATACAGTACCTATAATCTGAGATGGCTCTAAGGCACAACTGTGTTGTTTGCTGTGCTATGTTCACTAAAGTACATTTATCTACATACAAAATGTCTTTAGACTGATTCTCACTCACCTTTTAGTGGGCAACAAAACCCTTTGTGGAACTGTTTCAACATACAGGTCTCAAAGCCACTAAACATTGTTTCAGTAGGCCTATGGCAGGATCCAGTTGATAATTTTTAAAAACTCTGACACAGATATAGGATTAGAAATTCTGTCCCAGACTGTTTAGTTTTGGAGGTTCCAGGCATTTCCTCCCTCTTTATATATGTTCAGGCCTATTATTCACCATTATTTCTTGCTGGTATTGGTATGCCTGTTTTAGAAGATCCTTTCCCTCCACTTTTGTCTGAAGATAGCTTAGAAACAGGATAACCATCTTTCTAGAATGGTACATAATTAACTGATGGCTTGAGCAGTTTTAGAGTGAAATACAGCTTTTGGTGGATAAGCTTTTGAGGAGCTATCTTACTGTTTTTACTATTTCTTGATTTTATTCTGTCATCTGCCTCAATACTTCTCAAACTTAAGGTTGCAGACAAACCATCTGGAGAGAAATGTTGGCATTTCTAACAAACTTCTGATACTGCAAAGCTGCAGTTCACAGTGATCACATAGGAACAGTATTAGAATACAGCAGTTATACTAACTCATTAATAGTCCCCTTAAGGCATGCTTACCTCTTTTTCTTTTCTGAGGAAACTGTCCTTTAACTAATTTGAGCGTTGCTGGAGGGACTGAACCCTTGCCTGTTCCAGCAGGAGTTCTTTTGGGGAAGGGACGGCATAAGTTCACTCTTTTACTCTGCATCACAAGTGGCATGCTGGCCTTTCTCTTAGGCTGAACCCTTAGATTTGATGCTGGATTTAATGGAACCACAGTTCTCTTCCTAGCTTTAAACATTTCTTCGGAATTCTTTTTAGTTTCAGTTTCTCTTCGTACTTCTGCCTCTGAGTCAAGAAATTCAGAATCTGGAGTCATAACTAAAGAAAATCCAGCATCACAAATTCCATCTGAAATACAAGGAGACTGAGGACGCTCTGCCAACAAATCTAATGCTGTAGATACTTCCAAAATGTACCCTCTAGGATCTGAAAAATAAGACTTCAGCTGAGTTAAATACTGCAAAGGGCACTTTTCTGCTGGAGGAACCAAATCAAAACTATTGGACAGTTTGCGAAAAGATGCAGTCTCTTTGATTCTATCCTGAGAAGTAGTCATCAATGGACTTCTCTCCATCTTGCACAGTTCTTGGAAATTATGCTTTACTAACGTGTTTATACAGATTCCTTCTTCAGTAAATGATTTCTTTGCTTCTAGCAGGGCACAATTAAGGGCAGGTAAAATAGGTACCACCTTCAATGAGATGTCATCTTCAACTTTCAAGTCTTTCAGCCCTAAAATATATGTACATATATTAAAAACCTAAAATATTTCGGTCTTTATTTTACAAAATCATGCAGGGGGAAAAAATGCTTTAGATTACAAAATTATGGGATGGTTAAATATAATAGAGTATTCCAAATGAATATTAAAAGACTTATGGATACATTTAACGAGTATGTGCATCTCCATACATAGGTAATCACATCAGAGAGAGACAGAAAGAGAAAATAAGAACTGGAAAAGAATCATTCAAATGCAATCACCAGGTCAGAATGAAGAGGGATGACCTTCCTCCAGCTCAATCTCATTTGACCAGGAGCCCAGCATGAGCTCCACATGCCATCAGAGCAATAGCACTGGCATTTAGACTTGGCAGGTTTGCTTTCCTACTTTTTAATGATCATTTCCTGCTTTTAAAATTGTCTTAATTATCTCTACCTTATATAACTCCAAATTCTTTTTGTTAAAAAGTATGTATTGATTTTTAAAGAAAGAAACATCGATTTGTTGTTCCACTTATTTATGCATTCATTGGTTGATTCTTCCATGTGTCTTGACCTGAGATTGAACCTGCAACCTTGGCATAGCAGGATGACTCTCTAATCAACTGAGCTACCTGGAAAGGGCCATTCAAAAAGAAGTGACAATGCTAACCAACTGAACTGAAAAAAGTAAGAATCTTAAAGCAAGCCCCGAATTTCATCACCTTCTCTATCAAGTGAAATTTTTTTTAAAAATTAAGTAACTAAACTGACTGGTTTGTGCTTCACTTCCTCTCCCTAGCTCACACTTTGAAATAAATGCTCATTTTTTTCAGCAAATCAGTACTTTAAGGGGAAAGAGGGGGAGAAATAAAAAAATTTAAGAGTTATCAATAATAACTTAATAATGTAACAGTTATTAGTCAGATCACTAGGAAATGGGTAATCAAGTCCTAGAAAATTTACAAGTTATCAATAATAAAGACCCACAGATAACAAACCTCTGGTCCTTTGGTACCAAGTAAACTGAAATATGAATTAAGATTATTTTTAAAGAAAAAGTAACTGCAAAATTAAGAAAACATAGTTAGTCCTAGCTAAATATATCTGCACTTGAGCAGGTATTATGAGAAGGAATAAAAATACAAATATGAATAAACAGAAGAATGTGGCTAAACATTAGAAATTCCTTTCTTTACAATCTGTCATTTAAAGTAACAAGCGAAGAAAAATAAAATATAAAAAGGTTCTTGCTCTAGCCAGGTGGCCCAGGTGGTTTGGAATGTTGTCTGTACACCAAAAGGTTTCAGGTTTGATCCCTGGTCAGGGCACACACCTAGGATGTGCGTTTGATCCCCAATAAGGGTGCATTCGGGAGGCAATCAACTGATGTCTCTCTCTCTCCCTCAAGTCAGTAAACATATCCTCATGTGAGGATTAAGAAAAGAAGGTTCTAATGTACTACCAACAGTTCATACTAAAGTACCATTTTCCCAGAAAACTTCATTATTTCAAGAATTTAGAGCCGTGGCTAGTGTGGCTCAGTTGGAGTGTTGTCCTGTAAACTGAAAAGTCACGGGTTTAATTCCTGGTCAGGGTACATGCTTGGGTGCAGGTCTGGTCCCTGGCAGGGGCATGTATGAGAAGCAACCAACTGACATTTTCTCTCTCACATAGATGTTTCTCTCCTCCTCCCTCTCCCTCCCTTCCCTTTCTCCTCCTTCTAAAATCAGTATGCATGCCCTCAGTACAAGTTTAAAAAAATTTTTAGAAAGGCAGAACCTGGAATGATCTGTAATAGACTATTATAAAATCTGTAAAATAGAACTTTTAAGTCTGCTAAGCAAAGGACCTATCAATTTAAAGCAAATTACCATAGTTCTGATCCTCTGAAGAACCATATACAGAAAATGTCTTAATGAACTGGAGGAGGAGGTGCATACTGCAATGTAACTCTCCAATGTTTATTCAAATCAATCCTGTGCTCAACAGTAAGTGGTACAGGCAGTGATGTTTCCTATCTGAATGGTAGTTCACACTTAAAAATAAGAATGAATTCAGAGCTCTGACAGTAGAGGGAGGAGTATGGGAAAGGAGTTAGAAGCCAGTTGGATATGTTTGACCTGGGCAAGTTTAAGTCTTTGTTTCCTCATCTTTGAAATGGTCATAAGAAGATTACATATTTTAAGAGCTGCTAAATAAGTTACTGCATACCTAGCACAAAACCGGACACAGTAAATGCTTGAAAAGTGCAAACAGCTTATTGCCATTATATTGTTATAACTGGTAAAGTTTTGCTTATCCAAAAAAGTGATACCCAAGAAAGTGCAGTTCTCTGTTTTGAGTAATGAAATATAATTTTATGAAATCAACTTTAAAAAATATTTTTGTTTTGGCTGTAGTTTTATAAATGCTATACACAAATTTATGTTTAGAAACAGATTGTGTGATTATAAAAGGAGGAGGAAAATGTCCTCATATCACAAAAAGAAATGATTCATTTACTTGTTCAGCAAACATTTATTATTTTTTATGTGCCTGGCATTGCTAGGCAATAAGGATAGAATAGAATAGAAGAAAGGCAGGCATTAAATCATATACAAATAAGTATTTAAATTCAATTAATGATAAGCTTAGGGTACTCAATGAGGTCAGAGTGGTGGTGGGATAAATAAAGTGATATTTAAAACGACACCTGACAGATAGAAGTAACAGTCTAGACTAGGTCAGAGTTCTCTTGATTTTATTCATTACCCACCCCCTACACTAAGAACCTTTTTAGATTTCATTTCCTAATTGCCCTCTAAACTTTTAATGCTACAGAAAACCCCTGTATTTATTTATTTACTGTATGAAAACATTTTTTGCAGTTTGGGAGTAAACACCACCCAATAAAAGGGAAGAAGACAAGTAGTCCAGACAGAGAACTGCATTTATGAAGGCCCTGAGTCCTACTTACTTGATTATGATAAAAGTATCTCCTAGATATTGTAGGGGTTTTTTAAAGATGAATTTTTATTTATTTTCAAATTTACTTTTAATCATAGTTGACATGAAATAGTATATTAGTTTCAGGTATACAACATAGTGATTCAACAGTTATATGCCTTATAAAGCAATTACCATTAAGTCTAGTAACCACCTGTCATCATACACAGTTATTACAATATTATTGTCCTAGCTATTATTGTTCAATACCAAATAAATTCAGCTTTGAACATGTTGAATTTGAGGAATATCAGAGACATCTTAACTAAAAAAGTCAACTGATAGGTGGATATCTGGGTATGAAGCTCAGAGGGAAGAATAACTGTACAAAGGGGACAAGGAAGATTTGACCAGGGAGGTTAAAGAGTTGTTTATAAGAATAGTTACCAGGGTTGAGAGGCTAAGAAAGATGAGGACAAAAAAATTTGCAACAGATTTAGTGAACTGGAAGCCACTGTGCCCTTACCTGTTGACAGGGATGAATGGAATAAATGTAATCCATGTAGACCCATCTGCTCATCTCCAAAATCTATACAAAATGAGAATCAGAAGACAAGTTAGGGTGATGACCTTATAAAACGAAAGTAAACATACTGAAAAAAAGTTTTTTAAAAAAGTTGTTCTTACTTGTTTCTGATATTAAGGCTGATGATGTAAGTAAAATGAAAACCTCACGATCTTCTAAGCATTTGATGAGTGCCTTAAACATTAAAAAAAAAAAAAAAAAGAAACAAACAAACAAGATTCAATTCCTCTCCTCCCTCAACCACACTCAAAAGTCAGTGAATTCTGAGCTCATGAAACATAAATAAACAAATAAATGTCTTGAAATTTAGTGTTTATGGGGATCAGGAAAATGTTGCCTCCAGTATCAGGAATTGCAAGTTCCTTTAATGCTCAATTAATTTTGGCCCAATTAGGGCTACATATAATAACCAGAACAGCAAAAGTTAGTTTTAAGATAATGACAAACCCATCACAAACGACTTATTTCATTTTTTCATTGAGATGTTTGACATTTCAAACTGCTGCCTAAGTAGCCATTCTGTTACCATTAGCTACTTTAAGTTCAAGGTGAATTAGATCTTTGATTAGCATCTTAAGCTCATGTTTATATACAACATGTGACAGAATCCTGGAAAGACTGACTGGAAGATTCTATCTAATAAAAGAATCCTTTCCACAACATCCTAAGAGATAGAAAATAACAGAAAATAACACAATTAGTTCCTGTGGCAATAAAAATGCAGATGAAAATAAATTCTTTCTCTCTTTTTCCCCTCCACCAGTCTTCAGTAGAATACTGAGCTCAAAAAAAAAAAAAAAAACAAACAAAACAAAACGAAAAACAAACAACAACAAATGCTATATAGCATTTGATAGTTTACATTTTTGTCTTCCTACAGTCTTCCAAGTTCTTTGATAGTAGGGACTACTATTTTTGCCTCTGGCACATAGTAAGCACTCAAGAGAGAATCACTAAATAAATATATCAATAATTACATATACCCACAGCTTTGAAATCTATTAAATTGTAAACAAGTATTGTTCTTGTTTCACTTTCTATTGATGTAAAAAAGTGACCATAATTAGTCTCTACACTGTTGTGCATTTTAGTTTTATAAAATATATGAAAAGTAAATCCCCTATCTACTTAAAATCATATCTATCTTCCAAAAAAATGTGCAAATGAAACAGAACTATGTAGTATAGATTATCAGTCTCTCGGATTATGCGCTGAAAGGGTTAAAGTTCCTGTTTTAACCTTTGTGGGGAGAAATCGTAGAATCTTTTAAATATGTCCTTCTAGACACTTACACACAGAAAATATCTAGCCACACATGTGCTTAATTAACACCTTTTTAAAAGGACACCTTGCTCTGTACTGTTCTTGAAGTTCAGTGTTCTAGGTACAAGGCCACATACAGGTTATTCTAGGGTTATTTATTGCTCATTCTCTATATACCAAGGTGTCGAAGATGCTTAAGGCATGATACTTGCCTTCAAGAAACTAAGTGTATAGCTGGGGAGACTGATAAGTAAAAATTATCCATAGTGTATGAAGCAAAAAAGCATGGAGCACTGAGGAGGAAGGTCCTTAAGTAATATGTAATTTCTATAACTATTATTACTTAACAGGTTTTAAAGCCAAGTTCTGTACCTAGTCTATTATTTTCAGTACTATAAGCTCTCACAAGTAGTCCCTTCACTGATGCATTTTCTTAGAGTATCCTTGGGCTTTATTCCTTTTAATTTCCAAAAATAAAATCAACTATGATTCTTCGAATATTATAGCCTATAATCCTATAGTACATATTGAATAGTTGTCCACTCAGCATCTATTGTTGCCCATTCTGACTCCTTACTAGAGAGAGTTCTCTGCTGTGGAGTACCATTGCAAACTGAGTGGGACTAACCTCATACCCAATTCTGGAAGGTAGACTCTGAATAGTCTGAGCTAATTAGTGTAGTCCATTTCCTTTAGTTACTGATTAAGATCATGTACAGATCACTCACCGCTCCCTCCTCCTTCTTCCTGCCTTCCTCCCTCTTTTTCCCTTTCTTCCTCTCCATCCCCATATCCCCTTCTCTCTCTTTGAAAATAGGAAGCAGTAGCTCTGACTAGCAGTTTCAGGACCAAACTATCACACAGAAGAAGGCAAAGCTGAAAAAGAAAGTCATGAGCAAACAGTACCTGAACATGCCATATCACCTAGAACTGAAAAACTAACCCTGTTAAATCTCTTTATTGTTTAAGCCAGATTGGGTTTCTGTTACAGTAACTTAAAGTATATTAACTGACACTATCCCTAAGACAGCTTACCTTCAAAGCTTCTATATATGTTCTATTTTAATTGATTGACTTCTTGCTACCTACTATGGGGGACAGTCCGTCATGTCACTAAGGGCTCAGAACTTGTTTGATCACTGTCCTAACACTCACACTATCTCCTTTGGGATGTTTAGGAATTGCTCAATAGAGAGTCAGCATCTACTTTTACCCTCACACTGAGGAACCCTGGTTAACACAACAGAGAGAAGTCTTTGGATCTTATCTATTTCTAAGTAGAGTATTACTTTCTACACTAGAAAATAGTAGAAGCAGCAATGTGTATCCCTCCCCATAAGCCTATGGATTGACACAAGTCACTTTTAAAGAACTGTCTCACAAGTGGTCCTTTGACTAATTAAAAAACATCAGGCATCTACTCAGTTCTTTTGTCATAAAACAAAAACAAAACAAACAAACAAAAAAAGAATGAGAAAAACTGTCCTTTTATTCTAAAACGAGTATAAACTGACTAGCAAAGCATAAACTGAGAAACAAAGAAGGTGAAAATATAAGTCAATTAATATGTCAATGATATATCAATAAATATTAAAGGATAAAAATCCTTTCAGCAAGCTAAAGTAACTTAATCTAGGCAGAGCAACTAATAATATCAAATTCTCAATTTAAGGAAAAAAATAATTATTTTAAATTGATCATCCTTACCAGTTGCTTATTTTTAATGACTTCTGTTACTTTATCTATTTTTTCCCCTTGTTTGTTTGATAGTTCAACTTCATACATATTGAAGCACATATCTTGGCAACAGACTGGACAAAATCAGAAAAACAGAACATTTCTTATTTTAAAATGCTATTACACTTTTTTTATAACCAATTTATTCACTTTATATAATAAAAAGGCAAAAGAAAAACAGAATTATCACTCAGTGTGTTAGTTATAAAACACCTAAGATCAAGTTGCTCTATAAAGTATTTGGAAACAATGCTTTCATTTATACTGATACTACCGTAACAAGGCAAATAAAATACTTTACAAATAATATAAACATCAATGTTCTGTGAATTAATCTAAAGGACAGAGACATTTCTTTCTCTTTCTTTCTGCTTTTCCCCCTTCATCTAGAAGTACATAACTAGGGCAATGAGCACACAATGCACTATATAGGTGATGTAAGTATGTACAGTAAATTTGAAACTTATATATCTTTTTAACCAATGTCACCCCAATAAATTACAGTAAAAAAGTACATATATAAATAAAACATGACATCCATAAAAACTCTGTTCTCCTCAAAAGCAATGCTTATGAGTCTTCAACTATTTGTAAGCATATCTGATAAATTAAATCCCTCAGTATTCTATACTAAAGCTAGACTTTGCAATCTTAGATGAAACTACCTTACATAGTTTCTAGCTGGCCTCCAAGGAACCAAATCACACAGCAACTCTGCAACCTTCACAAAAGACCCTTTTAAGAATCACTTAAAGAAAAACAAAAGTAAGTGTATGTATAAGGGGGTAAATAACTGGAACAAAGCCCCAGGCATATAATGTATCATTATATTTGAAGAGACCTTTTTGCTGCTCCAAATAATTCTGTTTTCTAAAGGCAGCTTCTGGTAGTCTTTTTTTCAAAGATGACACTTTCATTACATACTTAAAATCCAGTTCACGTGGTCTAAAAAACAAAACAATATCATGCAATGTAATAAACATCAAAACTGTCTACAGCTTCACATATAATATTTGGTTTTATAATATTAATGCTAACAAAAATATTGTAACCCCAAAAACTAATCTTAAATTGATAAACTCCAGGTCAAATAATATGCATATTTATAAATATTATAGACTTTCAAATATATGACCCCTTAAACCATGGTCTGCAAATATATTCACATTTTCTGAATATACATATTTTTGGTATAACCAAAATACTCAAATGTGTAGAAGAACTATGCATACTATAATGAGAATTTTCTATGTAAGGACTGAAAATTTTTGACAACACTGCCTACCATGCAATGGCACATCCAAAATGAACCACACCCAGACTTTTGCATCATTTCACCTGAATCCTTTCTTTTTCTTTAAAACTCATTTTGAAATACTTAGACTTATAGATGCCCTCTTTCCCCCTAAATACTTCTGTTTCCTTAAAAAAAAAAAAAGAGGACATTTCCTTATACAACCAAAAACAATTAGCAAGATCAAGAAATTAACAATGGTATAATACAACTAATTAACCTGTAGACAATTTTGCCAACTGTCTCACTAACGTCCTTTATAACAAAAGAAATTTTTTATAGCCCAGGGTCCTATTAGAATGACACTACATTTAGGGTATGTCTGTTTAGTCTCCTTCAAGCTGGAACAGTCTGTCTTTATCTTCTACAACTTTGATATTTCTGAATAATGTATACCATTTATCTTGCAGAATGTCCTTCAATCTTGGTATGTCTGTTTCCTCCTGATTTGAGTGGCAGGAATGCCACAGAAATAGTATCATGTTATTCACGTGTTTCCTGATGTGATGCACAAAAATGCTAATTCTATTCCTGACAATGATAATTGCTTAGTTAAGATGGTATCTGCAGTTTGTTTCTCCATTGTAGAAACTGTATTTTTCTCTTTGTAATTAATAAGTTGTGGGAAAATACTGTGAGATAAGTAAATACCATCAAATTTTCACCTACTATTTTAAGTATCCACTGATTATTATCGTGCTGCCAATGGTGATTTTCTAATTCCATCCTTCTGTCTATACTTATTAGTTGCATTCTGCAGTAAGAAAGAACTTTCCCTTCTTTGCCATTTATTTATTCACAGAATACTTACTTTATTCTATCGATTACAGTATCTCTGTCTCTCTTTAGAAAAGAGCAATAAAAAAAGAATTCTAATAGTACATCAATTTTCATCTTATTTTTCAATTAAACTATGTCTACTTTTCAATGGTTTTCAATACTAAGAACAGACTAAAAAAGATTTCATAAGATGCCCTTCACTGTTATCCAGAAGAAAATATTGTAATTCATTTCAATATAAATACGTAGCAGCTACTCTATTTAATACTATACCAGTCTAGGAAAATCATGTGACTATTAGAAAAATCAGATACTACAAATCTTAATAAAGACTCAGTAATAAAATTAAGTATTTAGGCAAATCCAACTTGTTTTTTGGGGAAAGTCAACTTCTAGTATCAAATCATTTCCCCATGAATGGATTAAGACACTAAAATTTAAAAAGTGAGTTGTCAAAGGTTATAAAACATTTATTTTAAGGGCAACGTCAGAACTTAGATATAAACTTAGGTCTCCTGTATCATGATCCCAGATGCTCTATATATCTTCCCAGAAATACTCTAATCTAAAACCAAATACAACTGCTATATTTCATACCAGTGCCAACAAGCAAGAACTCAAAACTGAGAATTTTAAAAATTATACAAGCATTAATTAGTAAAGAACACAAATTCAGTACTTACAGTTGTGTTGGAACCACTGTACCATAAGAGGACCAAAGAGTTATTTCACACAGCAGACAGCCTTGAATAAATAATTTTCCTTTCCATGGAGAGATGAGGACTTTAAGAAACATGGGTAAGAAAACAACAAATTATTTTATTTATGAACAGAATATTTACTTTAAAAAACCTAAAAGAACCAATTAAATAATTCCTTACCATTTTCACTTAGTTCAAGTCTAGGGGGAAAAAAAGAAGAAATTTTGTAAGAGCAAAGTAAACAAATCCAGTAAAACAAAATATGTACATAATTACTTACATGCTTTTATGAGTTGGCACTGCCATCTTTTTAGGTTCTCTGTACTGAAAAGCGACAATTACATAAGGATGAATCTGTCTAGGTCGCTCAGTAACAGTGCTGCCTGCAAGTTCATACAGGTAATACTAAAAGAAAAAGAATTATAATCAGGGGAGCATTACAGAATTCCATATACACCAAGCTGATCACAACCCTCCCAGTCCTAACACTTAACACACTAGATGCAGAAATGTACCTTGGAAATGACTTATACCTGACTCAGTTCAAAGGCGCGAAAATGACTCGTCTTGTGAGAAACTTTGTTAGTATTTGCAGCCACGTGACAATCATAGCCAGAAGATGGGCTAATGTAGTTAGTTGTATAATTCTCAGACACAAACTTGACTTTTCCCTAGAATAAAAATATTAAAACTAATCAGATGTGTTCAAATAGCAATAACCTTACTCTAGAATTCATTTACAAGCAGCTGAATAAAGGTATGGATGGATCTGAACAGTTAACTGTGTTAGGAATAGAACTATAGTTCCTAGAAAATTATCTTTAAGATCAAAAATAGTTTTAATTATCCATGAAAACCTTAAAATTGTATTTAAAATTTGGGTGTGTTTGGGCATCTTTCTGAGGCAGCTGCCCACTTTTTTTATTTTTATTTTTTATTGTATTTTTCCCATTACCATTTAGTATCCTTATACACTGCCCCCTACCCTGCAATCACCATACTGCTGTCCATATCCATGAGTCCTTTTTGCTCAGTTCATCCACTTCTTTCATCACAATATTGAAGGAATACATGAATTATCCCATGTTCAAGAGAACCCTTTCTTTACAATAAAAATTATATAGCTTACTGAACAGATTGGTTATTCAATGACTATAACATAAAAGATGACAAATGAAATCTAAAATTTCAAAAGATGAGCTTCCAAACGGAATTTGAAGTTATCAATTGTAAATTACAGACCAAGATGCATCTATTACACCTGGACCCACAATTCAGCAAGGAGAAAATACAAAGTAAAGTGCTTAGCAGACCACTGGCTCTGATTTTTAAACAATCAATAGTATTTCCCCTTAAAGACTTGTCTTCATCAAGGGTTAGGGTTACATGTTTTCCAGAAAAAGAAGAAAAAAACCGCAGTCAAGCTTTCTATATCCTGAAATATTATACAATGATTTTAAGACTGTTTTGAACAATATAGTGACATAGATGGGAAAAATAAAAATATACAAAATATATGCCACAATGAGGTATGAGATTGCAACTTTTTATCTTTATAAGAAGAATTTAAGGCAGAGACAAATGTATTTGAAAAAATAAATTAATTAAAAAATAAAGAGACAAAATATATGCTATTCAAGTATATCTCAATAAAGATACTTTTAAAATATTACGAAAATTTCTTGTTAACACTTTACCCTGTTTCCTTCAAAGATAACATCTGACATATGATATGTATAATATACCATGTGTTATACAGGGTCCAGAACAAATAACACCCCTTTTTTATTACAAAATCATAAGCATGTAGTTCTGTAACATAACAGTATCACACTCAGCACACCATATGATGTTTTAGGTGAAATGTTCAAATGAAAACTATAAATTATTACACCCATATTATTACTGTACCAACCACACTTGAGCAGGCCTTACTTCTGCCAGACCCTGTATATTATATAATATATATAATAGTGTATGAGGGGGGATCCCAATAAATGGAATTTATTTATTTAAAAAAAAAAAAGAAAAAGAAGAATTTAATTATTAAAATTTTTTTTTTTTTTTTTGCTGTTAAGGTCCTGCCTTCTCATTTATAGCACCACCAAAGGCAATTCTTTCGTTTAAGATGCCAAAGAACGTAAACAGTATTTATAACAACTTGTATCTTTTTTCCATCACATATCTTACAATGTTGAGCATGGCTGGCTTATAAACTGTTAAGTAAGGGGGACTGAAATCATGTAGGCAAAAACTAAATAGCAATACCCACCAGACATGATGGTATACAGGAGCAAGAAGCCAAGGTCAAGGCAATCTGACATAGTTAAGAAACCAAACATTTGTTATCTGAACTGACAGGCATACTTTCTGCAGCAGAATGACAGTACTTACCATGGAGCAGGAGAGGGAGGACGGAGAGAGGAAAAGCAGTGACTGTGTGCCAATGCAATGTTACTTTCCCTCTAGCTCTTGGGGACAAATTTTGAAATATAAAGTGTTTATACTCTTAAAAAAATCAGTACTGTTATATTTATAACCAAAGAACTTAGAAAGCTAAAACAAAAGCAAAAACAGCAAAAAGACCAGAGAATATGTCCTCAGAAAGCCCACCAACCTCTAAAATCAGTGCTTTCCTACTACTTGAATGAAAATTCTAATTGCAGGACTCACTTACATTGGACTTTTAAAGGGCATTTAAAAATTTCTCAGATCAGTTATAGATGCCATATGAAGCTATAAACAAGGTCTAGATGTTTCAGGGATAAAGAAAATAAAGATTTCTTATTTTGACATTTTAAACCAAACAACAAATGCTGTTTTCTAAATTCATCTCTTATAACTGTAACCATGTTATTTTACAAGCAGCTACTTGTTTTCTGTTATTTAATGTCTTAACAAGTAGCACTGTGGGACAGGAGTGAGAGTAAGACTTTTCACTGAGTACCTTTTGTACTATTTCAAGGTTGGTTCTTTAAAAAATGTATTCATAGATCATCTGTTACATAAAAAAATCTTTGCCTTTAAAGGAAAGCAGAAATAGCAACTGTACTTTCTGATCTTGAAAAGCTGTCTTTGGTGAGGACTATGTTTAGCAAATGATCGGCAAAGAACATTATCAGAAAGAAATGACATAGAACTTTATTTAGGTCTTACCTTAATTAGATTAAAAATTACAACATAACCAGACTTTCCATGATACCATGGTCTTGCATGAAGACAGTCTGAGTATTTGGAAATATATACACCTATAAAAGCATAAAATAGATTAATTTACACTGTTAAAATATTGTTTACACATACACAATTCTCATGTAGGGCTACCTTTAACTGAACAAGACAACACAAAAGATCAATTAAAGTCAACACTAAAAACTGTTTTGAAACTGCTTACTTTTTAAAAGCTATTTGAGTTATTCTAAAGGCACAGAAACATTAGAGCTAAGATAAGAGAGAACGTATCTGACTGACAAGCAATTTTCTACTAGCGTCTAATAACTGAAAAGGGATAAAGTACCACATTCTTGGAAAATTCTGTTTTTGTTTTATTTTTTTCCTCCATGCAATCATCCTGTGAAAAAGATATATGGTAACCTGATTCTAAAGTTATTTTTTGCAAAAAAAATCTCAGTGAGTACAACAGCTCTATCTTACCCATAGGGGATACATTTCAAGACCCTCAGTGGGTGTCTGAAACTGTGAACAGTACTACTCTATATACATCGTTTTTTTCCTGTACATACATACTGATGGTAAAGTTTAATTTATAAATTAGGCACAGTAAGAGATTAACAACAGTGACTGATCATACAATAGAACAATTGTAACAACATACTATAATAAGTTACGTAAATGTGCTCTCTCATCTCTCAAAATATCTTATTGTACAGGAATACTCTTGTACTGCTCTTCAGTTTTTTGTGTTTAACAGATACTGTTTTTTGTTTGTTTGTTTGTTTTTTAACATATTGAAGATTTGTGGCAACCCTTCACTGAACGAAATTTTTTGCTGCCATTTTCACAATAGCATTTGTTCTCTTTGGGCCTCTGTGTCACGTTTTGGTTAGTTTTCACAATATGGGGTGGGGGAAAAGTAGTATACAGTTTTGAGTACACCAAACACACAAAATTTATTCTTGCATTATTTATTATTATTGAATTATTTTACATAAAATCAACTTTAAACCTACTTTTGCCTTACCCTATATTTCAAACTTTATTATATTTGTCATGTTTATCTGTGATCAGTGATGATTGATGTTACTATAATTGTTTTAAGGTACCACAAACCATGACCATATAACACAGTGAGCTTAATTGGTAAACGTGTGTTCTGACTGCTCCACTGACCAGCTATTCCATCTCTCTCCCTCTCCTCAGGCTTCCCTAAGATACAACTATTTTGAAATCAGGCCTACAGCTATTTTGAAATTAATAACCCTACAATGGCCTCTAAGGGTTCAAGAGAAGAGTCACACGTCTCTCACTCTAAATCAAAAGTTAGAAATGATTAAGCTTAGTAAAGGGGCATTTCAAAAGCAAGGAGACCAAAAGCTTGGCTTACTGCACCAAACCATTAGTCAAGTTGTGAATGCAAAAGAAAAGTTCTTAAAGGAAATTAAAAATGGTATGCCAGTGAAAGAAATTAGCCTTACTGCTGATTAGAGAAAGTTTTAGTGGTATGAAGAAAAGATCAAACCAGCTACAACATTCTCTTAAGCCAAAGCACAAAGAGCAACGTCCTAATTCTCTTCAATTCTGTAAAGGCTGAGAGAGATGAGGAGGCTGGAGAAGAAAAGTTTGAAGATAGCAGAGGCTGGTTCCTAAGGTTTAAGAAAAGAAGCTGTCTCCACAACATAAAAGTGAAAGGTGAAGCAGGAAGTGCTGATAAAGAAACTGCAGCAAGTTATCCAGAAGATCTGGCAAAGATAATGAATAAAAGTGGCTACACTCAATAGGTTGTCAATGTAGATGAAAATCAGCCTTAAATTGGAAGATGCCATCTAGGACTTTTATAGCTAGAGAGAAGTCAATGCCTGGTTTCAAAGCTTCAAAGGATGGGCTGACTCTCTTGTTAGGGGCTATTGCCACTGGTGACATTAAGTTAAAGCCAATGTTCATTTACCATTCTGAAAATAATAGAGCACTTATTTATGCTAATTCCATTCTGCCTATGCTCTATAAATGGAACAACAAAGCCTGGACTACAGCACATCTCCTGCAAGAAATGTAAACACACATCTATACAAAACTTGTTGTGACTGTACACAGCAACACTTTTAATAGTAGCCCAAAAGTGGAAACAATGACATGTCCATCAACTGATGGATAAAAAGACATAGTATAAGCTGTACAAAGGAATATTATTCAGGAGGGGGCAAGGGAAAGTGGTGCGGGGGGAAGCAGAGACAAATGTATTTGAAAAAATAAATTAAAATTAAAAAAAAAAAAAAAAGGAATATTATTCAGCCAAAAAGGGAATGAAGTACTGATACTTGTACAACATGGATGAACCCCAAGAACACTATGCAAAGTTAAAAAAAAAAAAGGCACAAAAGATCATATATGACTCTATTTATATGCACTATTTGGAACAGGCAAATCCACTGAGGCAAGAAGTAGAGTAGTGACTGCCTGCGCTAAAGGTAGTAGGGAAGGAGGAGTTACTGCTAATAGGTATAGGATTTCTTAGGGTGATAAAAACAGCCTAAAATTGATGTGCTGTTGGCTGCATAATTCTATGAATATACTAAAAAAATATGGAATTGTACATTTTAAATGGGTGAATTGTCTAGTATGTGAACTTTATCTCAAAATAAAAAGGTACAAAAAAAAAAAAATGGTCAGCAGGAATCTAGCCATGAAGCTCAAGTCTTCTCAGTCTTCATCTCCAAATTCTATAGCAGCGGACACAGCTAAATATCCCTCCAAAGATATTTGGAGGTTCTACAAAACTCTATTTCCTGATTCTTCATCCATGGAACCACTCTAGACTCCTCCTTCTACATTTCCCTCTACCATCACCTCTTTGTCCCATAATTACCCAAAAGTTCTGTTCTTGGCCATCTTTTCTTGCCATATTGTCCCATGTAACAGTATGTTTGGCTTTACCTAACACCCTGCCCACCCCACTTTGACCCAATTCCTTTTCCAATTATTTTTACCGTAATTTTTACTATAAGATGTCTTCCAGAAACACTTCTGAAGATCTCATTATTTCTTAAATTTAACTCATGAAAGTTGTAGAGTCCATTTACTAAGAGTTTATTAGGTTTGCGCTGTGCTCAGCATTTTATAGTCTCATGTATCCTCATAACAAATATAGTAGTTTTATCTATTTTACAAATGAGAAAACTGAAGCTTAAAGAAATTTAATGCTAATCCACGTTATTAACCATAGATTACCTTTCTATCAGTTTCCCTACCAATCTCCTCTCCTTCTGTGTCTCTTTTCTATCAGCAGTATCACTGTAGTGTAAGTTTAAATCCTTATCTTTATTTCCTTTCTCTTACTCTTCGCATTCCATAGTTGCCAAGTTTGGTCAGTTCTATCTGTTCTCTATTCCTATTGTCATTATGATAGTGTAGAAGAGAGCCTCACTAATCCTGGATGACTATAATAATCTCTTGGCATCAAAAGATACCTTCACTACCTGTTCTAGTCCTACCAACCTTTAAAAACAAGTTCTGATCGTAGAATTTCTACTGAAAAACCTTAAGTCTTAGGCTCAAAGCTCATTTATATGATAAAGTTCTGATTCTAAAGCTTACTTATCATTCATGAAACTGGCTTTTAATATGGGCATCTTATGAAATAAACTATAACCTACTTCATCTTGTAAAATAAAAGATTCTTTTTTCTTACCTTTTGCTGGGTCACCCAGAGTAGTAATAGCACTGCTGCCAACACAGAGTCCACGCTGACATACAAATTTTGCCTTTAAATAAAATATAGCATTTCATCATAATCGTCTTCAGAGGGGTAATGAAATAACACTATAATCTATATGCTTTCAAATAAACATACTCTTTATACTGTATGTATATATGGCACAAAGCAATATTATATAAGGCAATTGTATTTGGTTAACAGTTCAAAGTTTTTCATGAAATTTACCATTTCTGTTAACAAAACATCATCAGCAATAAACAAGATCACAGATAAATCCTCTCTTAAAGATATCTTTTTCAAATATAGCTTTGGAAATGTCTTTCTCTCCAATGTGTTTTGTAGTATGAATCTACAGCATATCTTATTTGGAAGTAGATGGTTAAGTCAATAAATAAACTTTTCTGACATTACTATCTTTGTTATACATTAATATTAAACATTCTTTAAGCAAATCTACTCTTGTTCTGTAAAAATCATTAACTCAACCAAATTATTACCTCTGAATTGTGTTAAAATTGTATTTAGGTGCCAAACACATCTTTGGAGACATACCCTGCACACAGTTTCCTTCTTGCACAAGTTAGATACAAGCAGCAATATGGATACTCAATCTTCAAAGACAGGTATGAAACAATTCCAAGTATCGGCAACTAGAATGCTGAAAATGTTCATCTTATCCTCAAAACTATGTAATTTAAACTTGAAAAACCTCCACAAATAGAAAGTATTTATGTAAACAATGATAGAATGGAGAAATATCTATTCATTCCATTAAAAGGCATTACTGATACCTAAGAAACGTGTATTAATCCAAGCATCACCATGAGTGCTTATGAATATATTTAAAACTAGAAAGGACCTATTAGAAGATGTAGAAATCTCTTTCATAACCAGCTTTCACTGGCATTTACACTGCCAAGAAACTAAGTAACAAAAAGAAAAGGCTGATGAACAGGTAATTTCACAATACTTACATAACTAAAACACCAATATTTAAATTTAATGCTAAATCAAGGCTGTACCTTATTTCACAAAATTAATGTTATGCAACCTAATTCCCTTACCTGATTTTCAGTTTCAAACAGAAGAAACCCGTAAGTTTCTTGAAGTTCTTCCTGAGTATAGTTACTTGCTTTTTTTTCTTGGTAAAAAGTTTTGTACTGTATAAAGAGAATAACCAAATGCTATAAATACATTATTTTGCCTCGCAAGTTAGTTTTCAGATATGCATCCTGAATTTCACCTGCTAAAAAACTAATAAAATTTATTATTTTTCTATTCCTTAGAATAAATATTACCTTCCAAGTGACTGTTTCCAAGTATCTTTTATCTACTCTGAAAAGTGATAGCTTAAAAAAACTAGGCTAATATACCACAAATGATGGCTCTTTAAAGCTAAAAATAAAACTAACACACAGACACAGTGTGTACCAAGCACCTCACCTCATTTAAGAAAATGTCATTTTTCACCAAAGTCACTTGACTGTACTGAAAACCATGCTCAGATGCAGAGTCCAAGTAAGAAGTATGGAGAATTGAAACTGCCCTCTGGAAGACAGAGTCTGAACTCAAGGACACTGTCTCAAAAACTGTAAAACACAAACAAAAATAATGCAACTGTTTAAGATAACCAAAGGATGGGGTTAAAATTGGTGCACTAAATATCACTGAAACTTCATCTCTTTCCTTCCTGCATAACTAAGACTTTTACAATGTGTTTTGGCTATCATATCTGTACTATCTTAACTTAAAAGAAAGACCTCTCTTGTGAAGTAAATAATGTAAACTGATTACAGTTTAGGGGGAACTCCTTTCAATACAAGAGTAAAATGCACCCTGCCAGATCCCTTATGACTTGTGATTTAAAGCTGGGTGCTGTAACTGCAACTGGTAAAACCAGATGTGACTGTACTGTCAGGTTGGTGGTCAGCGATCACTCAGACAAATGTTCCTCATCTTTATGATTTTTAAAACTTACGTCGTATTTTGATAAATTTACTCTTCCCATCTTCTCATCCAATCCCCAGGTCAGTCTGTTAAGTTCTTTTTAAGGGGCCTACTCAGCAAATACAATAGAAATCTCTGTATCCTTGGGGTTTCCTCACTAGCTTAGATATTTAAAACATTCTTATTATTATTACAAAAATAAAACTTTATTACTTTTTTAAAGTGCTTTTTTAAAACCGTATCCATGTGCTATCCCACATTATTTTGATATGTGGGATAAACCTATCTTAACCTTCCCATGAGAGGCATGTTTCCTAATTGAGAACTGCTGACTCAATCCAGTAATTCTCTTGATGTCAGCCTTTGTGCCTTTTGATTTTACAACTCTTTAGCAAGAACCAAGCTTAATGAATACTCATGACATTTAACCACTTGATTTGTTTACTTCCTTCTATCTGTAGCCTCTCTGCTTTCTTTAACAAGGTCAGGGAAGGGGGTACAAACTGATAATTTATAAATAATAAAGAGAATGGAAGAATTTATATAGCACTGTACATTCTAGTCATATAGTACAAATAAGTACATAAATATGGCTTCCTACTCTTACCAGGATTCTGCAATTAACGTTAGAGTTCAAAAGTTAAAGGAAAAAAAGCGTATTTCTTAAAATTAATTTATGAACAGGTAAGAAAAAAAGAAACTAGACTCACAGAAATGAAAACAAACATTTCAATGAAATTAATCTGGACTAAACTGTCCTAACACTTCAATTATAAAGGTAGTTTAAAATACTTTAATAAATAAAACTTCCCCTTATTGATAGCAAAAGATTATAAATAGCAAGGAAGGAAAGAGGACGAAACACTTAATATTCTCAACTCATATATCTGATCCATTACAATTGTTTTACTTTTTCTGTTTCACTTTCTCCTTCAATATCATTATACCAGTGCTGTACAAAATAAAGATATTCTAAAGAGGTTAAAATAGTAAAACTAATTTACTATTAAAATTATGGCTTTTGGTAGCTATATTACTCAAAACAAACTGGGAGGCCTATGTCTGCAAACCCATCTTAAAATAATCTGCACTGCTAGCTCAAATACAAATCAGGATTCTTTAAAAAATTTAAATTTTGGAAACCTTGTATTTAATGTTTTTAAAAGGGCAATATAATATTAAAAATGTAAGGATATTCTGAGGCTCAATATTTGAGGAATATGTTGCTGACAATGACAGAAACAAAAGTTATCACGGCTTTGAAAAGCAACCTTCTATGATTATCAACTTCTCTAAATTCCACAAGATGGTAATATGTAGGTGCAGGTTTTAAATTTTAGGAGCACTAACTACTATTTTTGAGTGTCAATGTACAATAAACTTAAAACTGTAAAAGTAGTGCAATTAAAAAAAACCTATCTTAACATAATGTTTCTCAAATACATGTGGTCAGAGAATATTTTATACCACTATGTAGAATACTGTCCCCAATAAAGCTATTAATAAAGATAATGACTTAAAATAAACAAGGAGAGTCCTGGCCAGTGTGGCTCAGTTAGTTGGAGAGCTGTCCCGAAAACTGAAAGGTCACAGGTTCAATTCCTGGTCAGGGCACATGCCTGGGTTGCAGGTTCAGCCCCAGTTGGGGTATGTGCAAGAGGCAATCAATCGATGTTTCTCTTCCTCTCTCTTTCCCTCCCTCCTTTCCTTCTCTCTAAATTCAATAAGCATGTCCTCAGGTGAGGATAAAAAAAAAAAAGTAAGAAAAAAGAAATAAACAAGGAGAAACAAAGAGGAGATAAATTGCTTTGTGCATATATATTTTTATTTGTAAAACTATTTTTCTATGGTTAAAAATGCATTTCCTTCAGGTCAACATCCTCCAAATAGCAATATATTTATAAAAGTAATCACTTTACAGTTAGAAAAAAAAAGTATGTCAAAAGCCAAGTTGTTGGAAAATCACAGTAAATCTTGAATCTTTCACGAGTTTACAATTGCTTCAATTATACTCTCAAGAAAGCACAAGTTTCCACTCTATAAATAAGGAGACAGATGAGAACTTTATTGATAAGTGATTTGACATTGTCTCTTCTTTCACAATGTGCTTTCATCTAAAAGTCTAACTAGTGTACAAAACAATATGAGCACTAAATAAATTAATGACCTCATTTTAGCTAAGCAACACACATGCTTTATTTATACATTCAAGGTTATCAGAATATTAGGAGAATGAAGAGTGGACTATTACAAAAAAGAAAGGACTGAAGAAGGGAGGGAGGGAGGGAGGGAGGAAAGAAAGAAAGACACTCCACTTAAAACAACATCTAAAAAGGTAACTTGCAAAGTAGAAATAGTGTCCCATAGGGCTTAAGTGACCAAAAGAGAGCATGTGGAGAAAATTTAAATCCAATCAGAATGGCCCTGGCAATTCAGGTGATATGCTTTCCTGTAGCACCTGGCTTTGGTCTCATTTCTCTATTTGTGGTTTCAATCTGAAAAGTTAAGTCAAGCTCAACACAGGGTGGATTCTGCTCAATACCCTGCATTAATCTCCTCTTCTCAAAATCCATCACAGAGACAGCGAATATCTGGTTTTTGACACTTTTCTCTTTTAACAAAAGTTATCATAAAATAATAAACCAATTTCTGATTCTATGTCACAGGTATCTTTTTCATTCTATAGGCATCTGGTCTGAAATCAAATAATGAGATGAACTAATGCCAACAACTCAGGTGTCACAAAATTCTGACAAAAACCAACCACTTCTGCATCTCCCAGAACTTTCATGACACATCTCCTACTTGTGTATTAAACAACGGTACTCATTAGCAACATCAACACTCAAAACCAACAATATCTGTTGGTTGATATTTCAACAATATCAAAACCAACAATGTTCCCTACAGATTGCAAACTACTTTTGCTAATACTATCTATATATACTTTATCTATTACTATATATAATATAGATATACACTATATACTTTATTTAGTCTAAGCAGGCCATTTGATAGTTGTTGAAGAGCCCATTGCTTAATTATCTAATCCTGAAATACATTTACCTTTACTTTTAAGATTAAAGAATTACCCGTTTAAGATGAGTACAATTTGCCAGGAACTAACAAAAACTTAAATGTGCACCCTAAATAACCATTCCATTTCTGGGGATCTATTCCTCAGAAATACTAGCATAAGAGCACAGGATATATTGTACAAGGGTGCTCCATGCACCAGCATCCATAAGGGCAAAAACACAGGAGACAAACTAAATTGCCATCAAAAGGGAAACTTGCATTCCATCTACTGGAGTAACTCTGCACATACTGACATATAAAGATACCCATTACATAGTATGGATTAGATAATGTGCATTATATAATGTCATTTTGGTGAAGAAATACATTACAAATTATGTTTTTAAAAGTATACAGATAAAAATCTAGAAAAATGGGAAACCATATTGATAACAGTGTTTAAACCAATGACTAATGAAATTGGAAAGTGGATAAAAGGGGAACTCACAGTTTTTACTTTATACATATTACAATTTAGGTTTTCCCTATATAAGCATGTATTACTTCTACTTAAAATATCTTGATTCAGAATCAAATAAAATGAATCATAATTTCAAAAAAATAGAGAGAAAGGTGACAATTTTCCTTAAATACTTTTTCTGATACAATTTGAACACTCAATTACTTATCACTTATGAACTAATGATTAGAACTTCATAGCTACTGGAAATTATAATTTTTAAAACACCTTCTAATTTTATATGATCAAAATTAAAATTTTAAAAGATTTAGTGGTCTACTTTGAATTCATTACTAATAATTTCTTGCATTCAGTTTAATACCCACTCTTTTCTGATATGAACCCTGTCTTGGTCTTCTCTAAGAGAGAATGTAGCTGGGAGGGTGGTCTTATTTCATTTTCACCAAGTATACCCCCAGAGTTCTTGACACAGTCCTGTTCTCTGTTAATGTCATAAATGCTAAAATGAAAAAAGAAAAAATTAAATCATAAAGTGAATAGTTGTATTTACAGCGTATCTACTAGATAAACAAATGTTTACTGAACATGTAATTTGCATTAGGTACAATTCTGGAATGTTTACGTCCTTTGACAACTCTACAGAACTAAGAGCTAACTTTGTTCTAAAGCAGTAACATATAAAATGAAGTGCTTTTCCTCCAATATATTTTAAAAATATATCGAACATTTTGTTCACAGAAATAAATTACGCTAATAGGAATCCTGTTTGCCTCGCTGGAGTGTTCAGCTTCAGTCTGGACTTGTGCTAATACTACTGCCCAGCTTTGTGACCACTACTGCCCAGCTTTGTGACATTGCTGGAGGATGCTGAGGTACAATACTGACTAATAGATGTTTAACACAATCCCTGTGTGTGGAAACTGATGACCTGATTCTAAAATTTATGTGGAAATTCAAAGGATTTAAAACAATCAAAATAATTTTGGAAAAGAAGAACTAAGTTGAAGAACTTATCACCTAATTTCCAGAATTACTACAAAGCTAAAATACTCAAGACCATCATCCTGGTGTAAAGATAATACCTATAGATCAACAAAACAGAATAGAGTTAAGATACTGATTTTCAGCAATACTGCCAATTGAATTCCACAGGAAAAAACCTCTTTACAACAAATTATGCTGTAACAACCAAAATGGAAAAATCCACAAACCCCAACCCTTAACCATAAAATTGAACTGGAAATGAATCACAGACTTAAGCATAAAAACTAAAACTGTAACATTTCTAGAAAGAGATCAGAGGAAAAAAACCTTCTTGATGGTGGAGCATGTAAAGATTTCTAAAGGCACAAAAACCAATTACCATAAAAGAAAAACTAAGCCCTGACTGCTGTGGCTCAGTGGATTGAGTGCTGGCCTGAGAACCAAACGGTCCCCAGTTTGAGTCCCAGTCTAGGGCACATGCCTGGGCTGCAGTCCAGTCCCCAGTAGGGGGTGCATGAGATGCAACCATATCTTGATGTTTCTCTCTCCTTCCCTTCCCTTCTCAAAAAATAAATAAAAAGAAAAACTGATACATAAAACTTTACAAACAATAAAACCTTCCAATCTTCAAAAGACATCATTAAGAAGCTGAAATTTTTTGAGAAGGACTTGTGTCCAAAATACATGAACTCCTCTTAGACACACTTCACAAAAGATGTAAATACACAGGAAAATGGTAAACAATCATTAGTTGTCAGAGAAGTGCTAATTAAAATAAAATAATACTCACCCACTAGAATGGCTAAAATTTAAAAAACAGAAAATACTAAGGATGAGGAACAACCTGAACTCTCATACATTCCTGGTAGAAATATAAAGCTATATAGTCAATTGGGAAAAGTTTCTCTATTAAACATACCCTTGCTATACTGCCCAGCAATTCTACTCTAGGTATTCACCCAAGTGAAATGAAACATGTCTGTACATGAACGTTCAGGGCGGCATCACTCATAGTAGGCTATAACTGGAAATGACCTAAATGTTTGTCAATAGGTGAGTAAACAAACTATGGTATGTTCATATAATATAGCACTCAGCAATAAAAAAGAAAAACTGCTGATACATATGTGAACCTCAAAACATTAAACTGGGCAAAGTAAGACATAAAAGAGTACACACTTGTAGGATTCTGTTTATATGAAATTCTAGAACTAATAAAACTAATCTGTAGTGATAAAAATCATACCAGTGGCTGCCTGGGGTAGAAGATAGAAATAGACAAATTGATTGCAAGTGAGGTAGACACAAGGGAACTTTCTGGAGTCACAGAAATATCCTGTATTTTTACTGGCATAATTGTTAGAGGATGCACACATTTACCAAAATTCACTGAACCACATACTTAAAATGTGTTCAAGTACTAAACACTGATACTATATAGAACACAATTTCCGAACAAAACCCAGTAAAATTACAATGCAACTATAAGAAATTAATCTCTAGAGCTCATGTTTGGAAATTGAAAAAAATCTCTGAAAAAAATCAACGAATTAAAGAGTGAATTCAAGAACTTAAAAAATAGAGAAACAATTCAAAGAAAAAAGGGAAGAAAATAAATAAAATCTGAAATAAACAGAAGGAAAAAAGCACAGAGCAGGGCAAAAAAAGGTTATCTGAAAAAATAATGTATCATCAAATTATTTTCTAAAAAGGCACATGAAACAAATAAAAAGCGGTGTGATTTTATATACCATAAATATGAAAAAATAATAGAAACAATTATATGACAAAATGTGAATTGATAACATGAAAGAATTCCCTAGCATACAATTTATCAAAACCTGCCTAAGAAAAATAGAAGACCAGAATATACCTATAAATATTAAGTAACTGATAGAATTGTTTGTTATAGGCATATGTCAGACCCAGAAGTTCAACATAAAAATTTTTCTCAGAAACAGGAAAAATCTTCTCATTTTGTAAGGCTAGCCTAACCTTGATAGAGAAATCAGAAAAGGCCAGTCAACCCGGCAATTCCACTTCTGGGTGTTTAGCCAAAGAAAATGAAACCACTAATTGGAAAACATACATGTACCTCTATATTCACGGCAGCATTATTTATAGTAGTCAAGATATGGAAGCAACTTAGGTGTCCAGTGATGGACGAATGGATAAGAGGTGATTTATAGACACAAAATGGAATAGTACACAGTAATAAAAAAATGGAATCTTATTTTCAACAAAATGGATGATCCAGGCAGGAGTGTCCAACCTTTTGGTGTCTGTAGGCCACACTGGAAGAAAGAGAGTTGTCTTGGGACACACATTAAATACACAAACACTAACAAAAACTGATGAGCAAAAAAAAACGTTTTAGGTGAATTTGTGATTTTGTGTTGGCTCACATTCATAGCCACCCTGGGCCGCCATGGGCTGCAGGCTGGACACTCCTGAGTCCTAGAGCATATTATGCTAAGCAAAATGTCAGGCAGAGGAGGAAAAATACCGTATGGTTTCACCTATTTGTGGAATCTTAAAGCAAACAGAACAGGAACAGACTCACAGAAAAAAGAGACCAAAGGGATAGCTACCGAAAGGGAGAGAGTGAAAAGAAGGATAACAAAATCAACTAGGATCAGTGGGGTAATTATATTATAAAGTATGAAAAAGTTGAATCACTATACTGTATGAAACTAAAAGAACCAGCGTAATATTGTGTACTTAAATTTAAAAAATTTATAAAGTAAAAGCCCTGGCTGGATGGCTCAGTTGGTCAGAACATTGTCCCGTGCTCCCAAATGCTGAAGCTTGATTCCTGGTCAGGGCACATACCTGGGTTTCAGATTCAGTCCCTGGTGAGGATGTATACAGGAGCAACCAATTGGTATTTCACTCACATTGCTGTTTTCTTCTCTCCCCACCCCCTGCCACCCCTCCTTCTCTCTAAAATCAGTGAATATGTCCTTGGGTAAGGATTTAAAAAAAGTATAAAACAGAAAATTTTAAAGCAATGTCACCAAAAGAACTGTGGAACATAAAAAATACTTCCTTTAAAAGTTAGAAAGACAATGATTTCTAGTAATACCTTCTAATTTCTAGGTTTTTAGTGGTCAATTCCTTGGCTGAAGTTTCCCTTCTCATTTACTAATCAACTAGTTTGTCTTCTAGTTGTTTCCTCAAGGAAGGCTTATTTAGAAAAGATCTGAAGCCCGGAATGTTCAAAACTATTCATCAACAGTCATTATACCCAAAGGCAAGCTTGGCAGGACCAAAAAAAATCTTGGCTTATGCTTTTCCATGAGTATCTTGCATGGGGCTCATCAGTTTTCTGGTGGTGTGTTCTGCCACCAACCTGCTTTTTTTCCCCTTACAGTCTGATCTCTTGCCAGTCCAACATATTTTACCAACATATGTCCCAGTGTTGGGCTAGTTCTCCTTGGAATATGAAGTACCCTTTCATTAGGTAGATTCAAATATATGTATTTTATTTAAGGAAGAAACACCTTAAATTATACTTTATTTTATTGCAGTTTTGATTTTCTTCTTTGGGGGCTCCAGTTTTGCATATTTTGGAACTCTTTTGGCTATCTTCTATATCATTATCTCATTATTTACTTTTCAAAAATGTATTTCTCATGTCTTTTTTTTGTTTTTAAAACTGGTAAAATGTGCATAGGATTTCATTTCTACCTTTATGTCCTCTGTCATAGTGCCTTGTCTTCCCTGTGCATCTCATCATTTATTATTTATGTAAGGGTTTAATCTTTTTCTTCCATTTCTTTTCTGTTCTGCCAGTTCCCATTTTATATTTTCCTGCTGTCTAGCTGTTTCTCGAATTCTTGTATTTCTGCTTTGTGGTCTTTCTTCCTAAGTCCTGTGCTTCATTAACTTAATATACATAATTAACATAGTATGCAATTCAACCATTTAGAGTGTACAATTCAACAGCTTTAATATATTCAGAGCTATGTAACCATTACCACTGTCATTTTCAGAATACTCTCATACCCCCCGCTCCCCACAAAAACCCTGTATCATTTAGCTATTCTACTCACGGATGGGCCTACCTCACTAATTTACTTTGTCTCCAAAGGCTTGCCTATACAATACCATTTCATATAAATGGAATCACACAGTATGTGGTCTTTGTGACTGGCTACTTTCTCTTAGCATGTTTTCAAGGTTCATTCATATTGCAGCATGTACTTCATTCTTTTTTATGGCCCAATATTTCATTTTATGGATAAACCAGATTTTATTTATTCAACCATCACCTGATGGACATTTGGGTTGTTTCCACTTTGGGACTACTATGAATAACGCTGCTAGGAATATCTGTGTATGAGTTTTTGTGTGGGCATGTTTTAAAAGTCCAGCCATTGTTAGTATAACGAGAACAGTTTGTGCAACATCGACATAACCTGGCAGCCAAGGAGAGGACTGGAATGCACATGAGTGAACAATGACAATTTCACTGTACTAGTCAGTGGGGGTGGTAGACACCGTTGAGTGAGC